CCTCCTTAATTGGTTAGTGGGCACGTCCCTATTTTCCTTCTTAAGCCAATCTAAAACAATACATTTTTGCATTAACGGTTCTAAGTTTATTAAGCTAATCTTTTTTGCTACCAAAATCTCCTTCTGTTGATTGAGGTCGCGGTTATGTCATGGTACATAATGAGAAATTTGGTACACTTGTGAGTATTGGGCACATCTCATGCTTGCCAGTATATAGAATCTTAACTGCAACAACACTTGCACATGACATGATTCAGCATATGACATGTCTTGTAGGTCTCTATGGCTAGGACCTTCCTCCTTGTTTCTAATTAAACTTTTGGGGCTTAGGCATGTATTACTTTAATTCTAAGTAATGATCATTAGTTTGTGATTAGGGGCATTTGTTGGGAACTACAGTCATCATAGGAGGATTGTGATTTAAGAATTATGTTGTTTGTGTAGTAAACTCAATGCTATTGTGTGTGTATATATATTGTGTATGTGTGTAGGTATATAAATATATATATATATATATATATATATGTGTGTGTGTGTGTGTGCACGCGTGCATACATATATATATGCTATTGTGTTTAAATTTTAGCATAATTTAGTCAGATTTGAAAAGCTCTAAGCCAGACTAGTTGATGTTGGATTCTTAGATGCCTTTGTGATGGCATCAAAGAACAAGCCTATATGATCTTGACCAAGTATAAATATTCTAAACGCTTAACTTATTGGGAACTCAAGGTATCTTCTTTTATGCATTTCACTGTAGGATATTTTATGCTCTTTCAAACAATTCCCGTCAGACATTTATTCCTATAGATCATGTTGCATAGACAGAGTTCTCTTATGGAGATGAAAATGTGACAGACTGGTTTTGCCTGTTGATGTCTTGTCATTATGCTAGGTACTCTTAGTTGGCATTCGAACTGTGGAGTCAATGGTTCTAACACATGGAAAAATACAAAAGACAACTATCTCTAAAACAAATATAGCTAGCATGCTGATATGTGACCAGAATTATGTGGATGCAGTCTGGGAAATACTGTTCAGTTCTATCATTATCTTTTAGTTATAGTAATGTTCTCTTTTTCATCTTTTGTACCTTTGATGGGCCCATCACCTCTTCAAGTAGTGTTTTCTGAACAGTATCTAGCTATGAACCCATGTATCTTAATCCTATATTTCTTGTTTCAACTTTGGTTCTAGAGGTGCTTATATCTATTAGGATTCGCTGCTAGTGACTGAGGAGTTCCCGGTTTTTTATCATGAAAACATCTGTTTAGGATGGGGGAGGATTATGCCAATTGATGGTCATCATCTTTAAAGATTAGTATTTTCTTAGATGTTCCTTCCGTTATTGCAACCCTACTGTATGCTTTTCCTTTTCAATGGCTTGATATCTAACAAATATGAGGTGATCAAAATGGGTTGTGTGGGCTTCCAGATGAAGGGCTCCACTAATTATTAGTTCTGGAGTTCCTTAGTCTGCTAGCTAACACCATATTACTCAAAGCTCTATAACTATTGAAAGAAAGGCATCAGCATTTGGCATCATCTAATAATTATCACAACATGAAAACTATTAAATTGAAACTACATCGAATATGCAAACTTTCAAATATTACATCATAAAATATTCACATTTTGAGTTATATAACTCGAGCATTTTTGCCAATGTTTAATTTCCTTGAATTGATTGATATCAGAAATATGTGATAATGTGAGTAAGTACATAAGATGAAATATTCTTCAATTAGACTGTCATTTTCGGTCACTTTTTAGGTTCATTCTATCCAGGTTTTTAGGCTAATGCTTAGTAGTTTAATTCACTTAAATTTTATACTATGTTTTTATGAAATTGTGAGCCTTGGTACAATGGTTGCTCCTTTGTGACTTGGGAGACGAAGGTTCGAGTCACGAAAATAATCTTTTTAAATATTTAAAAGTAAAGTTACATACATTGATTCGCAGATCTGAAAACAATATATATTGACAGGAGCCTCGGGTATGCCCTTGCATCCTTTTTGAAATGGCAAGTGCGTAAGATTTGTTTCATGCTTATTGTGAATGGACGGGCAATATCTTTGATACTCATTTTCATGGCTAGTCAACAAAGAACAACTTATTTTAGTTTTGGAAATTTTTACCTTTGGTAGTTATGTGTAGTTGCTTGCAGAGATCCATGGTTGGACTTATTTGATGATATGATAAGGATAAAGCTCATTTCAGAATTAATGGAAGAGTCAAATAAACTATGTTTTATTTTATTATTCTGCTGTGTCGAGTAGGTTGATGCTTCTTGCACGTTTAAATTCACTTGTCAAAGGCAGGACTTTGAACCCTATGGTGATGGATCCAATTTATCTCTAGCACTAGCACTTCTCTTGATATAACTTTTGACTGACATTTTAAAAAGTTAATAAACATAGGTTCGATCGATTATTTCACCGAACTCTGAACTTAGAGAGGGGTCTTTTTTTTTTCTGATCGATATACTGGAGGTTGAAAGAGTACTGATGACTAAGCATTAATATATTTGCCTAAGAGGTGATTTTTCTGAAGGCATATTGATAAAGTGTGGCTCGTCATACATATATTTGCATAAGCTCATCCTTTTGAGTTGTCCATCATAAGTATGACATTCATCTTGGTGAACTTTTTCTTGCCATCATGCTGTAGTGTTGTCAAACAGATCCTTATTCAACTTTTGCTTGCCACACTGCAGATAATTTAGGATACTCCACATTCAGATAACTTTGGGTGCTTATAGATAAATTAAATTCCTGCTGATTTCTTTACCTTTTATATTGAGGATGAAATTTTATTCCTTGTGGTATTCATCTACAAACGAAAAGGTTGACCTCCCTCATTAATTCACTTACAGATGATGCATCGCATCTAACATTAACAGTGCATGCAGTGGGACGTCAACATTAATTTTCGGGTTCTATCTGAATCATGTCCAAGTTACAAGTAGTCATGGAATCAATGCTTTTTTTTTTGTTTGTACTGACGAGGCCGTAGGCATTGTGGCACTGGTTGTGGTCACGTTTGCTTGCATTCTTTTCGTCGTACAAAGTGTAAATTTATTACTCTTAGAAAAGATGGTTGTTCGAGTGTGAAAGAGAACGGACATGACGACTAAACAACTCCCACCCACTCCTTTATTATAAGAATACTGGTGAATCATATCTTGTAGCATTCGATATTGATGAACGAACGGTTCAAAAAGACCGAAGCTAGCCCTCTTCTATGTAATTCTGAACACATTATGGATGGTTCTGAATAAGATCACATCTCAATGATGATGTGATTGTCACATGTATATTCATCTAAAATCTAAGTCAAATATCTGCTTATGCTTAAAGCATGAGTGGTGGGTTTTATTTAATGGTTGATTTTTTTTTATAAATAGATATTTAATGATTTGAGAGTGTGATGGTATAACGAGCACCAGTGGTCTAGTGGTAGAATAGTACCCTGCCACGGTACAGACCCGGGTTCGATTCCCGGCTGGTGCAATATGTGTTGTGTTTTAAGATTTTGTTTTCAGACACTTTGTATATATTACTATCGCAACATGTTTCAAGGATATCTTTCCAAGCTGTAGCAGTTGCTGATGAGGGAAAGTGACACAAAGGTGTGGGGAATCATGTGTTACGGACGAAGAAGAGGTGTGTTTTTGTTATCAGTGGATGCAATGATTCCACCAAGAGGGTGCATGGATTTGAAAATTCACCATTGGAATGTAATATCCAAGTTGCCTTTGATTAATGACATATTGGATCGAATATAGTACTTCAATTGAATCCATGTGGGACAGCAATGATCATTCTAGTGCCTTCAGTTCAATCGATGCATAAAGAAATATGAGGCAGCATCTTTCATGACATATTCTAGTGAATAAAGAACCAGTTTCATGAGGACCTGCTCATTTGTTTTTGTTGACTTGATGTAGGTGGGGCTTTCTGTGTGCATTGCAAATTCATGTGAGGGAAAAGAAAAGATGAAAAGATTAGCCTATCACTTGAGATGCATCACAACTTCGCCTTCATTGAGAGACCATCATCTGCAGCACCATGAATTAAGAGGTTAGCCAATCTCTCTCTTACTTGTTCCTGATGTATGCTTCTGATTTTAATATGTCAGCTAATCTACCGGAACCATTCCAAATATAATAACGTACGTTAACAAGTACCATCAAAAGAAAGTGCTCGAGGCCTTTACAAGTCATGGAAAACACGTAGTTTCACCTAATGATGCACTGAAACTTTTGAGGCTGGTATACATTACCGGCTGATGTAATAAATTAGTCGAGCAGATAAATTTAGTCCACATCATTAGAATTAAAATCATTGTCATTAGCCTTCATTTGATTATCTTCATTTATATGGCATATAAATTTTTAGCGATGATTTCTCACAGATCAAGAGAATTAGTTAATGAATCATCAATATGGATATGTGTTTGAGTCTAGAAAAGGGAATAAGGTAGCTACTTAGCAATCAATCTTGATGGTCATTATGCAGAAATTTTTTTGCCCTCAACCTCTGGCTTTTCCTAATCTTATTTTTCTGTGCCACTCTTCGTTTTGCTAAAGGATTTGATTTGCCTAAGGAATATAATTGTATCAATATCTTAGTTGGAGAAAGATCAAGTTTAAGACTTTTTATCAAAGAAAGCCTTTCCTTTGTTAGCATAACTATCTTATTATTACCAGTGAACAAACAAAATTTACTTCCAGTGCAATGAACATCCACAGTTAATAATCAAAATTGTTTTCATGAAACTAAGAAGGAAAATTAGGTCTCCTTTTATATATTGTTACATCCTTTTCAAGTGTATTCAACTTCATATACAATTGGGAGGAAGAGAAAAAAAATATATGTAACTTGCAGTTTTCATGAGTCAGCCAAGTGGGGAAAAATATATAAAAATATATATGCAGTGGGGTTAGGGTGACGCCACACTTTAATTGTCAGCCTAGCCATCATCTTCCTGGTAGCAACAACATAAGAAGAGAATTATAAGAATCAACAGAGTTTCATGTAGAACACTTCATGCAACACTCGCAGAAGCTTTGGAAGGTTCGTCTTTGCATATCTTGCTTGAGACAGCCTTGAAGCAGCTGCTTTCCCAAACTCAAAGTTTCTGATCTTTGATTATTGTGCAACATAATTGTATGCTATGTTAAGCTAAAAAAGGACACCGATAAGTGTTCACCAAAACCATGCATGGTAACACGGAGAAGGTTTTGCCTTCGTCCTCGTTTCGCATCGGTTTCTCTTTAACTAGTATGGCGGCCGGCGCGCATGCGCACGTGCGATCGCGTCGTGAGCAAGCTGCCCGCCGTCGGGTATTAGATTCGGCGGCAGGTTGTACATGCTCAGCAACGAGGGATCCAGTAATCCCCCGCCGCTGCCTGCTTCCTCCTCCTCGACCTCCTCTTCCCCCTCGAGTGGCAGCCTCTCGTAGGTGGCATTACCAAACGTCGTGGCGACTACCATGACGGGTCCCGTGGCGAGGAGCGACCCCACGACGCTGCCCCCCAACACCTGGCACTGTTCGCCGGCGAGGTAGACGGTCAGGCCGGTGGAACCCGGCAGGGCCGGACCGGGCAGGAACGTGCCAGTCAGCGACAGGATCTCGAAGCGGCCGTGCATGGTGACGACGGCGCCGGGTGCAGCTGGCTGTCGAAGGGTGACGTTGGCGACTGTACCGACGCCGCTGAGCACGCTGACGCCGCACTGCCGGCGGCGTGCGAACTGCGCGATGCACTCGGCTACGTCGGCGCCGCCCGCGACCTCCATCACGTGGCTCCGGAGCACGTTGGGGCTGTCGCGGGTGATGAAAATGGGGGCCTTTGGCTTGTTCTTCGATCCAGGGGGCCGCCCGCGAGGGCGACGGCTGCCGACCTCCACCGCTCCTTCTCTGGGGTCGTCGTCGTTGTGTCGGTCGTCTTCGTCGTCGGCTTGGGAGAAGACCTCGGGCGCCTTAGAGGGCATCCCATCACCAAGCTTCTTGGGGCCGGTGGATGCCGGTTCGGCTCCGGGAAGACCGAGGTTACCTGCCCACCAAGGGTTCGCCAGCTTCTCGGTCTAAAGCACTAGAGCTTCTGGCTTCAGGTCTCTCTCTTCCTTCTCCTACTGATGCCAGAAAAGAAACGAATAGGAAGAAGGTTCTCCTCTGGAGAAAATTGAGAGAAAAAGTCTAAAGCTCGAGCAAGTCCTTTTACTTACCAAGCATATAGCATCGGAGACATATATGATCGAGGAAGCAGGAAACAAGTTTGACCTACATCGCGAAGAAGGAAGGATGCAAGAAGGACCTTAATGAACATCTACACGAAACAGAAGGAGCTCTCAGCTCCATCGCTCTTATGCTGATCTATGAGCAGGAGAAGTCAGTAACGTGTGTCTGTACTTTTCCTCCTCTTTTGATTTACACGGAATGGGAGCAAGAAAATGTTGCCACTCACCAGGAGGAGAAAGAGAAGCCTGACCTGCTCTTGGAGGGACAGAGAGATGTGTGGATGAGGAAAACATGGAGTAGTTTAATGTTGGTGGGGAGTTTCTTTAGATGTTTGTGTTGGTGCGAGCTGGGGTGGGTGGTATGTGCCTTGGCATGGGTTGCATCGAGAAGAGAAGAGAACATGGAAGAGGAGAGAGAGAGAGAGAGAGAGAGAGAGAGAGAGAAAAGAAGAAACGGCAGGAAAGGATGTTTTTTTTTTTGTGCATATATGCTAGTGACTATATATCCACTTGATTAAAATAGCGACTTCGTCGGTCTCCAAAGCTGACTAATCTCTTATGAAACCATCTACGAGTCCCTCACCGTAGATGGATCTTGCTGCAAGAACACTATTCTCTAGATTTGATAGCATCACTGGCCATATAGTCTGTAGTTGAGTTAATGCTGGGAAAGATATGAGCAGCTCAAGCCCAAAGTGGAAGCAGGTTGATCCGAGTTAAGGTGTACGAAAGTTGAATTGCCGAAGTGGTATTGAAGTGTCGAAGTAGAACTCTCGATCTACCGAGGTGGAACTCTTGATCTAGTGCCTACGTAAGATTGATGTTGGATTCTTTCGTCTAGATCCCTTTGATAAATAAGTGATATGATTTCATAGTACTAAAAAGAGCTCCCGAAGAAAAAGAAATATATATTTATGATCGAAACCCCTCAGTCATAATTAATTAGTAAAATATTAGCAGAATAATATGTGGACAATTCGACATATGCCACATCAGTATCCATATAGTTACCGGAGTGAGTCGTTGACATCCTAGTCGTCAGTTCGATTTGGTTTGGCCTGGGGTTATCCAAAGTGCCTCTAAGCTCCCGAGGTATCACGTACACAAAAACCTAGGTCAGAAAAGGTTTTCTAACCCGATCTCTCCAACGCATAAATTAATAGTTCGAGATAGGATATGAGTGGTCAAAAAGGTGATCTCATTTTTATTGTGTTGAAAATAAATTTTTATGTGTGATAGTGAAATAAAATATTTCATAGAATAATCTACGAGAAGGTAGTCTTTAATCGTCTCCAACAGCTTCCCTTTGGTCTCTTATCCATGTGAGCAACAATGAGAGAGCAGACCATAATCGCCTATCTTATACTCGTGCCCATGTGACTAGACGCATGGAGGGTGGCCTCCATCTTCTCCTTTTATCTTGAACACCACGTGGAGGCCACATGCTGGATGATAATTGGCTGATAATTTTCTTCCTATCATTTGTCCCCCCCGCCCTTCAAGCATGCTTCATGGGCTCTCATAAGAGGGATTATAAGGGCTATCAATTGGCACGTTAAGCTTATGCTTATTTGATTGATCATCTAACACTGCACATTAGGTAGATGCTGATAGGGTTAGGGGCACTTGACTCATGTCTTGAATCGATGACCTTCGTCCCTTAACAAGGTTGCTTCTTGCCAACAAGCTCTCTTCGATAATTGATCAATCCTTATCAACTTGAATCCGACCCTCCTTTGGGCATAGAGGTCAACAATGATGAGGTTGATTTCTCAACCTCCATGGCTCGATAAAGACAACAAGCGAGAGGTGCAAGCACTACTAGTGATAATCTATCACTGACTTACCCCTTCCATCACCAAGGGACCCACCTTAGGCAGAGGGGGCCCATTTCTTCTTGACCTCCATGTCTTGGGTGACGGTCTATCATTGATCTACCACTCTTTTTCTACTCACTGTCAAGATGAGCTGTAAGTGGTGCAAGGTGGGTTCCTTTGCTCACTAGGTGGAAAGGGTTCTAGTTTCTCGACCTGGTGATGGTCTATCGCAAACCCGCCCCTCTTCTTCTGCTCATCGTCAAGGTAGGTTACGAGAGGAGCTGATGTAGGTCATAGGTGGTGTTGAGGTAGTCTCCTCCTCTGTTCGTCATGGAGTGGGTCAAGTTTTCCGACCTCCACACCTTGGGTTATAGGTGGTGTCAAGGTTGTCTCCTCCTCTATTCATCGTGAGGAGGGGGTCAGGTTTTCTAATCTCCATACCTCAAGTGGAAGAGGGGGTTGCGTTTCTTGACCTAACGACAATCTATCATTGACTTGCCCCTCTTCTTTTGCTTGTCGTCAAGGTAGGCTGCAAGAGGAGTTGAGATGGTTTCCTCCTCTATTCGTCACAGAGGAGGGGGTTAGGTTTCTTGATGCGACGATGGTCCATTATCGACCTGCCCTTCTTCTTCTACTCGTTATTGAGGCGGTCTCCTCCTCTGTTCATCGTAGAGGAGAATGTTGGATTTTCTGACCTCCACACCTCAGGTACATCTTATCATATACCTTTGACCATAGCAAGTTTCTTATTAAGTGGGTCAAGTTTTTTTGACTTACACTCATCGAGCACATTTTATCTTGTGCCTCCCGTTATAGTGGGTTTCTTCTTACAAGGGTCGGGTTTTCTAACTCATATGCCTCAGACACATTTTATCTTATGGCTTCCACTATGATGGGGGATTTTTTTTTTACATCGGTTGAGTTTTCCTAACTCACATATCTCAATCACATTTTATCTTATACCTCCCATTATAGTAGATTTCTTTTTACACAGATCGGGTTTTCTAACTCACATGCCTCAGACATATTTCGTCTTGTGCGTCCCACTATGACGGATTTTTTCTTACATCAATCGGGTTTTCTTGACTCATGCGCCTCAAGCATATTTTATTTTGTGCTTCCTCTCCATGACAGATTTCTTATTACACAGTTTGAGTCTTTTTTACTTACATGCCTCGAGCATATTTTGTCTTATGTCTCTTGTTGTGATATGTTTCTTGTTACATGGATCGATCACTCTCTCTCATTCTATAATCAAGACTAGTGTTCTTTCATAGGCAATTCCCAAAAGACATCGATAACAAAAGGATTTAAAATCTATCATGATGGAGGAACGTCTTCGAAATCCGCCATGATGGAAAGAGGACCCAAAATTTGCCATGATGGTTTAAGGACTCCGAAATCTGTCATAGTAGAGGAAACACTTTGAAATCTACCATAAAGGAAGGAACTTCAAAATCTACCATAGTGGAGGAATGACTTCGAAATCTACTATGATGAAAGACCCAAAATCTTCTATGGTAGACAGAAACCTCAAAGTCTGCCATGACGAAAGTGTAGAGCCAAATATACTCAAGGCGTGTAAATTAGGAAACCAGACCCGCACCAAAATAAATCTACTTCTTCGACATAGTAGGATTGAATGTGCCCAAGGTGTATGTCGAAAAACTTGACTTAAGCCAAGATAAAACTATTACGGTGGAGGTGCAAGGCTAAATATGCTCGAGGCACATGAGTTAAAAAAACCTGACTCATACTAAAATAAATTCATTACGACAAAGGCGTACGGCCAAATATGCCCAAGGCATGTGATTCTGAAAACTCGACCCACATTAAGATAAATCTACTATGGTGGAGCAAGGCCAAATGTGCTCGAATCATGAGTCAAAAAATCCAACCTGCAACAAAATAAATCCGCTACAACAAAGCAGGTCCGAGACGTGTGAATTGAGAAACTCATCCCATGTCAAAATAAATCTACTATAATAGCAAAGCAAGGTTAAATGTGCCCAAATTATGTGAGTTGAGAAACCTAACATATACCAAAATAAACCCACTACGATGAAAACGTAGGGTGAAATATGTCCGAAGAATACAAGTAAAGGAAAATCAACTTACTCCTATAGATATCTCCTTCATGCTATAAAGGAACAAGGTTAATAATAGCCCTATCATGTAAATTTAATATCACGCTTTAGACCCCTTTGACATGAGCCCCAAAGCTCGCCTTAAGCGAGAGAGAAGACAAACGATGATGTGAAAAGAAAATATCCCAATCACCTAGGTTTAAGCCTATTTTACTCCTATTGCTCACGTGAACAAAACATCAAAAGGCGATGTCATGCATTACGCGCATACAAGAACCATAATGGTACTTTGCCAGCCTAAATTCGGTAACAATGCAAGGCCAACTTTCCTATGAAACTAAAGAATTACTTCTCACTGAATGCAAAGACATTCTAGGCATAATAAACTACATTTAACTGCACATTTTAAATCCCCATTTCAAGATCCATGTAAACACCCTTTCAACATAGTCCATCCAGACTTGTTACGGGCAGGAAAGACTTTACAAAAATGGCATTCTGAGTGCAACAATCTACAAAAGGAATGCCTCAAAACCTTGATGGAAACTCACCTCGAAACGTGGAAATCAAAAAGAGGGTAGAAGCTATGGACTTTTTAGCTGCCTACTTTGTGAAACTGTGCGCTACTTAGATATTGTTAGTGCAAATAGTGGCATTTCTTATCTAAATAACATCTTGAGCTCCTCAATCCGGGCACTTCTGACTTCCTCATCAGTTAGGGCACCAGCAATCATCCTCTGCTTCCTTGCCTGCACCTGCTGCATCCTCCCTTCCACAGAATCCTGCAGCAACAATCGTCATTAATCTCACTACTGCACCGTGAACCCACATCCTTCGAGTGGCAGATAGACGGCAGCAAGATTGTTCATCGCTCATACCTTGACGATGAACCTCCTCACTCGAACCTGCCGTTTCTTCCCGATTCGGTGAATTCTCATTATTGCTTGCTCTTCCACTGCAGGATTCCACCATGGATCCTATTTTGGACAAACAAAAGGAAATTGAACACACTTGCCACAAGTAGAATTCACCTTTAAGCGTGCAAGGATTACCATAAGGAAGACATTTGATGCTGCAGTCAGATTCAAGCCTACGCCTCCAGCCTTGAGTGACATAAGTAGTACCTTAGATCATTGAACAGAAGAACATATTATCGAACAGTTGAAGCGTAATTATTCCCATCTAAGCATGGATGCTTCCTTACCATTTTGTCTCTGCTCTCACTGAACTCCTTCAGCACAATCTCCCTCTTCTTCCGGCTCAGCTTGCCATCGAGCCTCAGGAAACCAATCCCTTTCCTCAAAGGTATCTCAAGCAAGTCCAAGAATGCAGTCCACTGGCTGAAGACAATGCTCTTCTCCCCTGACCTCTGAGCTCTCTTGAGGTATTTAATGAGCTTTGTCACCTTCGAGGACTCCTTCCAGTTCTTCTCCACATCGACCTGGAATCGGCTCTCGCTTGGGCATGTGATAAGGTCAGCTTTGCTGAGAGGGCTGCGGCAGATCGGGCATGGCCCGCCTGCTGGAGTTCGCCAGCTCGAGAGCAGGCACTCCCGGCACATCCGGTGGGCGCATGGAGTGAGCACCGGGTCATCGGAAGCTGACTCCAGACAAATTGGGCACTCGGTCACCTCGCCTCTGCGGATGCCTTCGACGACCTCCTCGACGTAGGCTGGTGTGGGGAGAGGATTCAAATGGGAAGCTACAAGAAATCGGCGGGCAAGCTTATTGAGGTCTGCATACTGCTGAGTGTCTCCCCGGCTGACAGAATAGAAAATTCAAGTGTTGGTGAGAACTTTACATGCAAAGTTCGGCTACATCTCGAATTAAATTGCTTTTTGCCGTGGAAATAAAAAGAAGGGTAATATTAAGCTAACCTCATTACAAGAAAAGGATGGTTGCAGCACTGCCTTAATCGAAGCAGAAGCTCCAAAATGGAAGCATAATTGTGAAGAACTTTGCCTTGTGCAACAAATTGATCAAATCTAACCTGTTCAAGGTTTCATGGTTGCAAGCATATCAATCACAAATAACTAGAACAGGGTTTTATATGCCAAAATGGAGCCACCGCAATCAATTAAACATCAGATTGATTGCTCGATATTGGTAAATGCAATAACTGAAGGATACATATTAACAACGACAATAGGAAAGCTTGACACACAAAAAGTCAAACAGACACGGGACGAACCTTTGATCTCTCGAATAGAGCTTCGTAGAAATCACGCTCAGCTTCAGATTGTTCACATTCTACAGTCCGGAAATTGGCAGGAGGAAGAACAAGAATAGGCCTGAATAATAAATAATTTATCAAGTAGTTCTAATTAAGCTAATGACAACATACCCCTCAGCAAAATTAGCTTTAATGGTATCTAGAAGAAATTATGTTGAAAACTCACTTTCCATTCCTATCTTTTGTGTCCTTTGTTCTCCTCAGCATTAACGGTCTTAGAATGGCCTTAACCAATTTTAATCCTCGTTCATCCCCATCCTCATAAGGTCTTTGAATCAGCTTGTGCCACCTGAAATTTGAAGAATGAAGCATTAAACCAAGCCAAAAATTTTAGACAAAACAAGCATACCAGTTATCATATATGCTGGTAATGTACTAGGAAATGCAGCAACTCATATGTTGTGCAAACAAGCGTACATTGGCTCAATTTGGTCTAGAATTTCACAAGAGTTCATTTGCAATGTTAGAGATTAAACAATCTGACTTGGTTTCAGATTCAGGCTTCAAAGCCCATATAATCTGAACCAAACTATTATATATATATACATATATATATATGGCATTCTAATAGTCAAATACATTATATTGAAGAATAATATAGTAGAAAAAACACAAGATAGTTCATCCTCAAAAAGGTGGCATGTTTTGATGCAAAATATAATATACAACATATTTTATAGTATGAATATGAAATACTCAAAATTCCAAATTTATTCATTTTATATATTTTGAATAAAACGCAACATATTTTATATATTTCACAACTTATTCATATAGGCAAGCTCAGTTAAATTCCAAATTTTGGAAACTGTTTTCCAGTTTCAATTTCCTAAAAAGAAAGATAAACTGAATGGTGTTACCATTAACCTCGAAGTGTTGTTCTTGTTCAAGTAATTATCAGAAGGGTATCAAAACTATTATCTAACAGTTCACCTTAACCTCAAAGAGTTAAAATTTCTTAGGCAATTTTTTTTATCAGTATATCCTTTGATGAATCTTCAGTTTCTGTAATTTAGTTTGTTCATCATACACTATTCTCAATAAGTATTGAACAGTAATTTTTCATACCATGCCCAGTTGCACCACGGTTCAACATGTAAGAAGCAAAGAAGACTGTAGAGATCTTCCAAGCTATTCTGCAGTAGCAATAATATGAAACCATGTTAATAAGCCACACGTAACAACATTCACCATCTCAAAGTTGAGTTCTTTTTTTGTGCAAGCATAATGCTGAAGTTCTAATTGGAATTCGTTAAAATTCTATATGCAGCAATTAAAATTGTTAGACAGCCATAATGTGGGATGCTTGATAGTGTTCCTTCATTGGAATTGTGGGATGACTGAAATAACATTATCCACAACTGTTTTCTTTGAGGTTTTTGGCAATGGTATAACCTAGGCACACTTAAAAGACTGCTAATACCAAATTTAACACATGGAAAGAACAACTACTATAATTTGGTTGATTGATGCAGTTTGGAAGATCATGTTGCAAAGGATAATACATACTCTAAGCCTTCTGGACAATCAAACCTGAACCCTAAAAAAATAATCCGCAGAAGTCAAGGCAAGAAAATGAAATACTTACTGACCTGAAGAGGAGTACCCGTTAGGCACCACCTTGAGTATGCATTCAATGCGTAGGCTGATTGAGCAACTACTGTCTTTGACGATTTGATGCTGTGGGCTTCATCTAGCACCACTCTGTACCAATCTATTTCATGGAAGATGCTAATCTTTTCTGGGTCCTGGTTTGACAAAGGATATGGCCTTTCATTTATTGACATAAAAGAAAAGGACAAAGATTGTACGAAGAAAAGTTGGAAGAGAAGAACAATGATGATACATACAGATTTATAAGCTGATGCCAAGACTCCATATGTTGTTAAAACCACATCATGTTCAGAGATCACTTTAAGGTCATTTAATCTGTCACCACCATAATAAACAAAGACAGACAATGACCCTGGCTTTGAATGGTTTTCCAGCTCATCCTGCAGTGGTTTTTGTTTATGAACGGTTGCTAGTTCCATTCAAGTAGACATATTGAAGTAGGGACATATAATCTAGTGCATTTAAATATAATCTGATACCGGTAGCCTGCAGCCTAAAACATAATCACATATCAGGAAAAATAATTGAAATTTCTGAGTGGGCTAAAATTTCATAAACATTGATAGAAAGGGATGATGATGAGTTTTCACCTTCCATTGGCCCAACAATGCCATTGGACACACAATTAGGGTGCCACCTTTTACTTTGGAAATTTTTCTTTTGGCCTTTTGCACTTCCTTTGAGCCTTTACGACACTTCATAAAAGTGTCCTGGTCATCTGACCTTTCTCCACTGGGTCTTGCAAGTATTAAAGCGATTGTCATGACAGTCTTCCCTAGACCCATTGCATCTGCCAAGATCTACAAGGACTTCATCATTAGTTAACTATGCATTTTTCACCAGAAAGCAACTGCTACCATCAATATTTGTACATATTCCAAGAGCAACCTAGAATGTTAAAGTGGGCCAATTTTGGAAAAGAAATAAAACATTGACAACAAAAGCAGTCCCTGCATTCAGAGACCAATACATTAGGACAGATTAATCCTGGACCAATTCAAGAAAGTCATTTGATATGACGACCATCTAAACCAAAGAGTATGTTCAATGGGCCAGATATGTTGAATTACCTACAATTTTGTTGACTCCATTTTTGCTACTAGTCATGTAGTTCAAATAGGAACAACAGGGTGACAGACAGTCCAAATTAACATTGTTTTGATCTTTCACCAAACTAGGAGACTCTTCCTGATCAGAATGTTCTAAAGAAAACTTCATACAAATAAACAGTGATAGAAATGCTCAATCAGTAATAACTGTGTAGAAGTTCCACCATAAACTTTTCCGTATATTCATTATTGGGATTTGCCTATAAAAACTGGGTTCTCCTTACTGAAATACAAACTGCCTCATTTATTACATATAATAATACTGGATCATTAAGTATGCTTGGTATTTTTCAAAGATGCAATTGAGTCAGCAATCTTTCAAGTAGAAAATTGCTAGCTTCTATGTAGGATATCAAATACCATCTTTTAATCTGCCTTTTTTTATGACATAAGCTATGGTTACTCCACAGGTCATATTATTACCAAAATCTCAACCATCACACATACACAAGAGAATTATCTTCAGTATCAACTTATATTCAACAACGATCCATGCTCTATTATTCTGATTTTAATCAAAATGGATATTTCAACAATTGAGATGGTGCACATCTCTGATACGATTGGTACTGCTTTTCTCTTAGTTTGTTCCATTCTACAACTGAACATATATGCAATAGCCCAAAATAAAATAATATTTTGTTCATCAATGAAAATGATATGTTGTTTAAGGGTTTTGATGAGCTTCCATCCAAACCAAATCCCAAATTAAAATCCATTGAGCATGATAGCACACTTACTCCGCCTCTTGCCATCTGCATAGCACTTGGAAATTGAGTCGTAGCTTCGCCTGTGAAGACATTTACATACACCGCAGATACTCTTCTGCCAAAATCATGCAGTAATAATGAATTAGCATTAACAATGGCAATAGGTCTGACATTGGTCCAACATAAGAATTCATAACTTTACATACTTGTCAAGAATGTTGTATGCAGACCAACATGGATGAAGAGTTTTGGATGCTTGCTCAACATCAATTCCTTTCTCCAATTCAGACATCCAGTAAAGAGCTTGTTTCTGGTACGGATGTAGATCAGAAACAAGGGTACATGGGGGCTCTGCTTCCTGTAGAATTTTGTCAAAGAAATGGCTAATTCATAGTTCCACATGATTACTTAAATTAAGGGCAATTGTCTTGTTATAATAAGATGTTGAATGTGCTTAAGCATGAGGAATCCAAATGCTACTTCTTCAGAAATGACCTCCGAATTTTTCTTTCATGTTGAAGAAAATACCTCTAAATCATAAATCTCAGCAGCCCCAACAAGTTTATTCAGAGATGATTCCGAGATTGCTTGCTCACCCTTGCTTCGTTCAGGATAAGTTTGGCCCCTTCTCTGTTGCTTTCTGAGGCCTGCTATTTGCATAGATTCATCTTCATCAGCATCCTAACACATGTTAAAATAGAATTCATGAGTTATACCATGATTAATACATGACATGAAACATTCTTGCACGATATTGAAATATGCAACAGCATCAGCCAGATAAAAGGCGGTTCACATATGTTTTAACATAGACCATTTCAAAAATAATGCAGTAACAAAGAAAAATTCATGCTCATGAATGAAACCGCACAAAGAAAATGCTACCAGGGTTAAATGTGTACTTCTAGGTTTAGCGATCTCTTTCGCTTGTTCAGTTCTTCAGGAGTAAAGTCAGCCTATTCATTAAGAGCAATTCAGACTGTCAGTTGTAATATAGCAAACAATGTAAAGCTGAAAAAAAAATAACAATAATAAAGAAATTAATCAAACTTCTTAAAGGAAAACTGAGAAGCAAAGGTATGTTAGAAACCCTTTTAAATTGCTTTATCTTCAGCAGTTTGAATAAAGTGTGAAGAGGATGGACAGTATAATCAGGATTTGATGGAGTCCCAAGCTTCCAAGAGGATTTGTCCCCCGGAGTGAATATTGAACTGTGAATGTAAAAGCTGTACGCAAGCAGCAGAAAACCATATTAGGATAAATCACCTCCATTCCAGATCAAATTATGCATTAACAAGTAAAGTTGTCAAGCAAGTTTATGCAACCTGCAGGAAGCTAAAAGAAAAGGGCTGATTTCACCTGACATATGATACAAGCCAACAGAGAAGGGTTCACATTCACCTGACATTTAATTTAATCTCTTGCATTAAGCTAAGTTGCACGGTTGAGAATACGCATCGCCCACGAATCATCACTTTGGACGACCCCACAAGTGGAATGAGGCATTTACTCCACTCTGGTTTAAACCTCCCTATCTGACAGACATGGGATGATTTAGTACCAAGGTAAACATCCATGAAATCATTACTGGAGTTCAATAATTGGAAGGGAAACATGAAAGGTAAGAGCAATGAGTCAACGAACCTCACCACCACGCTTGGTTGAGAAGCGCACGATCTGAGACACTGCCGCTTCCGTCTTTGAGCCCAGCCATCGCCTACCAATCGTATTGATCTTCTCGAAGGATGGAAAGGAGAAGTGAACAATCTCGTCGGCATCTAGCTGCTTCTTCCCTCTGCAGGTTGACAGGCCAGCGACACAAGTCTTCGCCACAAGAAACCAAACAGGATCCACAGGAAGCTCTTCAAGCTCTGCTGTCTCTGGAGCAGAGAACGATTGAAGCCTCCGATAGGCGATATCAGGTCTTAAAGCTGAAATCGGGCGCGGATTGAGGTATGGGGTGAAATGGGCCCTTGCGGCGCCGGGGAAGCCATCATCACAGGATTCGAAAGGCAATGGATCGTCAGCAGCCACCAGCATGGGGGTGTCGAAGAGAATGTTGATGGCGCGGTTTGTGTTCCATCCGGCAAGAGTCAGGGCTCGGAGGATGACGCGATCGGGGATTCCAGATCCCACACAACGTATCGGATGTCCGCCATCTCAAATGCGAGGTCTCGAGGCTCCTGTGAGTAGGTCGTCATTACATCCGCTACCAGCAGATCAACGAGACCGGAGAGGGCGAGGAGGAAGCCAAAGAAGAGGCGAGGAGCAGTTGGGAGGAATCGAAGCACGCAGGATTAAATAGATCGGCGACGCGTGTTCTTGGGTTCGCAGGCTTCCCTGATGCGACGCAAGATGGCGGGAGAAAGGGGCTGATTTCTGCTTTCGAATCAGCTTCCTGTGGCGCGAAAGACGGGCATTGGTCAGCGTGGTAAAAAGTTGGCGGGTGATTTCAGCGGTAAAAGTAATTCTTTAATGTAAAAATTAACTTAATATATAAATAAATTAACTTCATTGTTGAATTATTTGGCAAACAGCAATAACGACAGTGGCCAATCATGGCACATTTCCCGTTCCACCGAGATACCCTGCAAGGCAATGCTTATCATGCGATGAGCCATTCACAGTCACACGTAACACAAAGTTAAAATTCATAAGAACGACTGGCATACAACTTCAATCCACAGGAGCTACTGCTATGGTTTTGTAAACCAAGACACAAGGACAAAATGATGGACCAAAAACACAATTCGTGATCGGCTGCCCTTTCCCCAAAAGAATGGAATGTTTGAACCATCGCTAGGTGAATAAACATGATAGCAAATTCTATAGCGTAGACGACCATATTGCACCTGGTATTCGACTTTAATTGGTCTTCGACTTGGAAGACTTTTTCTTCGGCTGCCGCCTAAGGATTGAGTTCTTTATGCCGAGGAAAAAGAGTAGAGCGCCAAATAAAGCCAAGTTCTGTCATACGAACATGCAAAGCAGTTAATTGTCTACTCCGACAAAGTTTCCAGATTATTTCAACGACATAAGTTTATGACATGTGGAAAGGAAAACACTTAACCTGAGCAAATTTGCTAAAAAGCTGAGCAAATTCTGGCTTCTCTACGTCATAATTGTAGAAGTCGTACATAACGGGTGTTATTAAAGCAAGGTACAGAAGCTGCACAAGTATGGCACTTGATTACAAACTAAACAAACTTATCAGAGTATTCTTCAAGGAAACAACGCAGGTGACAGGATGCATCTATTTTCGAGAAACACCCTGTTGGTACTACTATCTATGTGTTTATAGTGTCAACTTAGGTGCATCTACTTTCAAGAACATTTAGTCGATGCTGTTTAGGTGAATTATTTCGAGGTTCCTCTAGAAAGCAAAAAGGGCTACCTAAGTTAGTCAACGTGAGACTTGTCTGACTTAATCACATTATAATTGCAAAGGTACTCCGAGAGCAAAAAAGACAGTAAGCATCACAAACAAGAATAATTAAACAAAGGTATATACCAGAAGGTATGCACCAAAAGAACTGCTGAAGATGAACAAGATGCTACCAAAACCTTTCAGATATATGGTGCTTGCAACAACATGTTTCATCTGAAAAGCAACCAAAACAAAAAAAATATTTAGACTTATAAGGGAGAAGGGAGGAAAGAGGAGGGAGAGAGAGTTCTCACTTCAATATGTGGTACTACAATGCCAAGATGTGAAGAGACATGTTTCATGAAGACATTGTATTTTGGCCTGAGAGCCTCTGCTGCTGGTCCACCATCAACTCCAAATTCATTAAATCTGACAAAATCACAATATATCAGCTAAACGAATTTTAAATAAATTGACTATATTTCTGATCACAAGGATGAAAATTATTCCTTAAGAGATTTAACACAATTTATAAGCATGTTAGAGCACCAATGTCTCTCACCACAGCGGGAAAGTTAATTTCGAAGCTATATCATTTAAAAGCATGACATAACACAATTTCATCTTATTTGCCCCTTCATTAATAAAGAAATCAGGAAAGTCAAATGGTTTAACTCAGTACATACACCAAATATAATGGAAGATGATATCCCTTGCACCAAGTCAATTGTACACCAGACACTCTGAGACATTAAGATGTGGAGAAAATACATACAATAAAACAAAGAATAATAAAAAAACACTAGCTGAGAATTTTTATCATAGGAAAGTATATTACAAGCATTTACTGCAAACCAGAAGTCGTGGGAACTTCACAATATTTGCTCATGAATCAAAAACAGTGCAAATATCACTAGTAAACACAGTACAATCTAAAACTCCTCTGATATTACAGCCATTACTCTTAATACTCCATGTGCTGTCATTTAAGACATTATTTTGTAATCAACCAGTACTTGTGCATTAGCATAACAGTGCATTTCTTACAATAGATCATCAATGGTTAATTCCACATTCAAAACTGTGATTAAAAAATGAAGCCAGAGAAAATTGAAAAATAATTCAGGAGGAAGAGCACTACAAAATCTTATTCAACACAAAGAAAAAAAAAGTAAAACGCTACTAGATAGGAGCATGTTATAACTTTCAAATCTTGTAAAAAGTCAAGAAAATATATCAAAGGATCCTCCTAGGTGTCCTAGGTTGCTTAATAATAAGCTATCTCCCAAAATAGACGAATTCAAGAAGATTGAAGGCATTAGATTTTCTCTTTCTTAATGATACCCCATAGACAAAGCCCGCCGCTCTGATGATTCATGATAACTCGATGGATCGCACGGCCCTCGTGCCGACGACACATCATTTAAATTTCTGCCCTATCAACTTTCGATGGTACGATAGGGGCCTACCATGGTGGTGACAGGTGACGGAGAATTAGGGTTCGATTCTGGAGGAGTCTGAGAAACAGCTACCACATCCAAGGAAGGCAGCAGGCGTGCAAATTATCCAATCCTGAAACGGGGAGGTAGTGACAATAAATAACAATACCGGGCTCTTCGAGTCTGGCAATTAGAATGAACACAATCTAAATCCCTTAACGAAAATCCATTGGAGGGCAAGTCTGGTGCCAACAGTCGCGGTAATTCCAACTCCAATAGCGTACATTTAAGTTATTACGATTAAAAAGCTCATAGTTGGACTTTGGGACGGGTCGGCTGGTCCGCCTCGCGGTGTACACAGGCCGTCCCATCCCTTTTGTCGACGATGCGTGCCTGACCTAAACTGGCCGGGTCATGCTTCTGACACTGTTGCTTTGAAGAAATTAGAGTGCTCAAAGCAAGCCCACGCTCTGGATCCAATAGCATAGGATAACACCATAGGATTTCGATCCTATTGTGTTGGCCTTCAGGATCGGAGTAATGATTAAGAGGGACAGTTGGGGCTTCCGTATTTCATGGTCAGAGGTGAAATTTCATCATACTCAATAAAATTCATGATGCGAGTCTAAAAGAACTTCCTCACTTTAGATAGACCAAAGGCACCTACAAATGTCTAATCGGAAAGGAAGTCACCAAAAAAAGTTTTCCACTCCATCTGTTTTTTAAAAACTATAAGTGTACTTATCAACAACTACATTGGAAATTGAACTCTGAAAGGTCAATATAGACTACTAACAAGGCATATTAGCACCTAATTAGATAGCTGCATAAGAAACTGAACAGCTTTGGTCTATGTTGCAGAAACAAATGAAACTAGATCAGTCTAAATCAAACTCAATTGTGCAACAGAAACCGACATTTTAAACAAAAATAGATTTTCTAACCAAAACTGATCTCTTGATGAGGAAACTGAAACTTAAATTCAAAATGTCAGACCTTTACTGACATCTTTCTGGGGGACAAAATTGCTTATTGTGCTGTTTAAACATATGAGAGAAATTATGCAGGCTACAGTAATTCCATTCACTGCATAGTCTGTAAGCTTTAGCTAGTTTCATTTAATCCTATTATATGTGACGATTGAACTTCAATCAAATAAACACATAAAAGAAGTTTAAAGCTTTCTTATTCCTCACCTACGGGTAAGTTACTCTCCTTCCATTGTAGACCTAAGATATTTCTAACAGTATTTATTTAAAATTTTTAATTATGATCAGCTTCTAGAATGGTCTACCTCTTTTTGCCCGCTAAAGTGCAGCAAGCCAACTTCATTATTATAACCTTATGCAGCAAAGAACAAACAATTTACTACATAGTTTCATTTCCCAAGAAAGCTCAAACATCTCAGGTAGATATCTTGAAGTTAAAAGTTCACTAATTACAAGAAAATTCATGTCCAAACTAAACGATCCGTAATCCACTACTGATGTATCAATCTTTCAAGTTGAAGTTATTTTCATTCAAAAGGATGATACACCATCTTCAAGATTACTCAAGATAATGTCTTTCTTTGCATGATAAAGATCTATAAAGTACGATTAATGACTTCAAGCATATAACAGTACCATCAGAGTTGAGCAAACAGAAGAACCCACTAAACGTTCTACCAACACAAATAACAAATAACCATGATAGGCATATATTTTGTTGAACTTAGCTCTCAAATGAAAGTTCCCCGTTTCTGGTTTAACCAGAGTATACATACATGAAAGAGAAAGAAACTCTACAAAAAGTTGCTTTTTTATTATTAAATATATAAACATATACCATGAACCACTTTAAGCACAATTGTGACAGAAATATCATGGTCAAATTTGCCAAAAATAGTTCAAAGCATGTCAAACAATGATCAGCAGCAAGCATCAGAAAACTAAATTCCAAGAAGAGATATTACAATTAGTGAGATGAGACATCTCATGATGCTCAAGAAATGTGCCCTGCTTGCTGCACCATAGTGATTCTGGGCCACAGACACTAGTGTTAATATTTTTAATCTAAATGACAGTATAAAAGGCAACACTAAGTAAAACAGCTTAAGTTGTCTAGAATTTATTCACAAACATCAAATTGCAATAACAATATCTAGGCTTTGTTGATTTAGCATTCTTTAAAAGATTGTAGGACTCATCACTGGGGCTGCCAATTTTAAGACAAACATAAAGAAGACAGTTTCATATGCATCAGGAAGTAATAGAAACCAAGATATTGATACTACATGCTTGGCAAAATAAAACACACAAAATTGAACTCTTTAAACTGTTCAAAGAATTGACCAAATCCAGACCATAAAACATTAATGGATGTTTTAACTGTTTATAACTAAATGCCCTTCAAGCTTTTAGTAAAGGAAGTTAATAGGACGAGTGTCACCATCGGAACTGTTCTCCTCATTTTTCACCAGTATCTGGTGATACCATAAATAATGCCAATCAAACAGTACTTTTTTACTTTTTTCTTTCTTTCCAGCACAACTGGTACAAAAGAGGCTAATGATAATTCCCCAGCACATTCTCAGACAACTATGATCATTAAAATTTGTCTCAACTCATCAACTCGATTTTACACTCTTGTTATGCCAACAAGAACACAGTTTCTACTGTTACCTATATCTTTCAAAGAAGTAACAAGTTCAACATCTAGCTTTGTTCGGATCAGACTATTAAGGCTTAATTGACAAAACTTCGCCTAAGGTTTCAAAACAGTACAAGCAAAATAATCAAGAAACAGAAGAGCAATCGAAGAGCAACAAAAACACTGAACCCGTGGTCCAGAAGCGACACACGACCAAGGGACAAAGAATGCCAGTTTTCGGGCACCAAATTATCGGGAAACGGAAGATCTAAAACCCTAGTCCACGTATCAAGAAGAACCTAAATCTGGAGACAGGAAAGCAAACGAAATGCTTGATTCATAAAAAGTAGATCGAATATAACAACAGATCTGGCAGGAACAAGCAATTAAGGAGAAAGGGGAACACTATAAGAGAGAGATAGAGAGTGGGAGGGTCACTACTCCTGGTAAGCGGAGAGAAGGAAAACAGAGGCGAAGAGCACTCTTCCGGCAAACGACACGAACCCCATCCCTCTCCGCGCGACAGAAGCGCCTCCGATCAGACGATTCTTGGTGCCTTGGTGGCTCAGGAGAGGATGGGACGAACCCTCCAAATCCCAAACCCAAAGAACCTCCTCCTCCCTCTGGTCTAATCTCACAGCTCGCGCCGCGTAGAGAGAGGGAGATGAAGAGGTACGACCCCCCTCCGACCTGCTCCATGTGGGAAACTGGTCCATTATGTCGATAAAACTTCAAGATTGCCACTCTTCCGGTTCGGCCTTCGTTTCTCGCGAATCGAATCTGGGCCGGGTCAAAGTCAACAATTGTAAGCCTTTTGGTCAACAATTGATTTGGTTTGGATCACTTAACAACAGCACAGTTGCTAATTGTGTAGATTGGTATATTATTTATGGTTTTAATTGCTGTCATTGTTATGATTGATTTGAATTTTCAGTCTTAGATGGGATGACATTTCACCATTAGATTATTATAATAAATATATAATTAATTAAATTTGATTAAGATAAATAGATTTATTATCTCGAGCTCTAATACAATAGGAATGATATCATAATCTCTCTTATCATAGTCAATATGAACAATATGAGTTATGAGAATTATCCTTTTGAAATAGGCTCCGGCACTAAATAAATTAGTTTCGTGACTCTATTTAATTTTTCAGTTTCATAAAATTAAATATAATTTATCGAATATATCGAAAATATAAGAAGTATTTTGGAACATATTAAAGAATAAATATGAAACAAAAACTTAAGCATTGCATTCATTTCATTCTTATCCAAAAAGCATACATAGAAACATATAACCAAAGCTTTGGATATCATATCAAACACATAAAATATGAAATTAGATCATAATATAATATGGTCCATTTATTTCCACAAAACATAAATCTTTCATGTTTGGGAGCTCCATCCACCCACGTCTGAGTGAAGTCATAAGCGACCAACAGAACATCGCGGGCTCTAAGTATAACTTCTTTTATCATTTCTAACAAAGTTTTACATTTATCCTACAAATCCTATAGTATAAAAGGGTATTGTGAACATTAATGAATCTTATGTTTGCACTGTTAAACAAAGACCTAAGGGTCTGATTCAGTCCATCTCTTATTCAGTCCACTAAGAGCCCAAGTCCAGCTCTGATTCAGTCCATCAGTACATCTAATTTTATTTCATGATCCTGAAGAGAACTCAAGAGGAAGCAGATCTTCTACTCAACAAGAGGATGGAAGCCAATTAGTCTGAAAGGTGGCTTCACACTATCTGAACAATGCCCATGAAAGGGAGTTGCATCTAACACTCCTTTGGAAGTCACAGAGGTTGCCCACCAAAGCTTCATTCTTCACTGATCATAAACAACCTCTTTCACACATGAACCTGGATATGCAGAGCAGCAACCTCTTCTCATCCAGCTTCTTCCACTTCACCCTGCTAGACTCCAAACCACAAACAAGTTCAAAGAAAAAGTCTCTCAGATTCATGCACCTCCCCTGAGGAGGTGGACATGCAACCAAAGCACCCAAGTAGATCAATGGCCACTGTAGAAGTGCACGTTTCCTTCATCCATTTCCTCTTCCTCTGTCATATTTCTCACGTTCTTGCCCAACTCCCACTCGGTGGCTTTTCTGCAAAAATCGTTTTATAACACCAAGTTGTCTTATACTATGGAGGGTGACTCCTTATAGATCACACTCGGGAGTATTTTTGCATGCCACAGGGAGTGGGTGGATGCACTGAACCTGAATTATCCTGAGAAAAAGCTTGGTTGATGATGAGGGCTACTCTTCCTATTGCTTTCAGTTGGAAGATCAAGTCCAAAAGAGAATATTTGCTTTGGTCCAGCGAAGTATGTGCAAGTATTTATCTTGAAGGATTGCTAGACAACTGCAAGTATCTGTTCTAGAATGGGGATATAAGAGGAACAGGTCTTCACTGCATGATTGGTAGATGGTTTTGATTCTAGCAATTGTTAGAATGCCAGTTTACTTCTGTTAAGGCAATCAGTAAGCAAGGAAAAAGGATGTGTTTCATTTACTCACTTGTATTAACATAAGAGACCAAGATAAGTCCATCTACTTGGTTTTTTTGTGGAGGTTCTCTCAATAGATCAATCAATGATAGAATCCCCATACGCCACCACCAGTGGAGTTCAAGGGTTGTGTGGAGTATGTAGGTTGCAGTCCTCCTTTATTAAAGCTGGGCATTCTGATGGCTGCTGGTGTAATCCCCCATGACAAATTGAACCTGCAGCAGTTTTGATTGATAGCTCAGTGTTGCATAGCTCACTAAACATAGTGCTTTAAACCCTAGCAGATGCAGTCTTGCAACTAAAGGAATTAAAGCTGGTCGGTCATTCATCAGCTACCCAAGACTGATGAACAACGAAGACCTGTTTGTTTCAGGTGGTAAATCTCACTTCAGAGTTTTTGAAGTGCTTGAATCATCTCTTTTTGCTAAGTGGTAAATCAAGTGAAGAGAATTTGCTTCTATGACTATGAATCCTGTGATAAGTCATATCTCCTCGTTATCAGCAGAATTTTATGAACTGATGATTCAACATACACAAAGAAGAGAGACAACAACTAAAAGATGATCTTTCTTTGATGGGGCACAAAAGGCTACAAGACAAAAGAAGCTATAATAAACCCAATCAGCTGCCTCCATGTATGACTGGCTTAATTCCCTCCTTGTTCCCACAAGTTTTGAGCTATGATTCCAGAAGGTCCAAGCGCCAACTTCACCTTCACCTTCGCCAATCACCATCATTAGGGGGGTGGGGAGGTCAGTGGGCCACAGATTGTGAGGTGGTGGCAATAAAGATGAGCATGGAAACATGTCCTTGTTCTCTGCATCTGGTACACATATAATAGTGAGGGGGATGTATGCTGCCTAACATTGAACCTTTGTGTTCAAAGAACCACCTGCTCCAAAAAGAGACATGCAAAGGACATCAGATCACTGGGACCACCTCATCTGCAGCCCCTCGTTGCCTTGTTATCATGCTACTCAAGGAACCAACAGTTATGTGGCTTGGCTCAAACATGGTGGCAAGTCTAGCTACTCTCTTTTAAGCTAGAGGTGCACTAATAATGAGGCTACACCAACTGTAATCTGTACCATCTTTCTCTTATTAGACTGCGTACGAAGTTTGATTCAATGAACTGGGTTTATCTGCAGATAATGGGGTCATCATCTCAAGTATGATCTCAGATTACCCAACAGGGACATCATCATCAGACATGATTAGTTCGAAGACCTTCATTCTGTGCTAGATTCTCCCAGGCAGTAACTGGGGCTGCTTATAATTTAGCTACTCCAGATTAAATCATGGGTTATGCAGATGAAAACTAGATGATGCATCACCTTGATGGTCTAAAAGAGCAGTCCAAATTATCTTTCACCCTAAGGATAAATAAAGTAGACCTCTGTAATCTGATCCTGTCATTGTTGGCTTACAAAAACCACAGATAACATCAGTAGAAATTGCCAAGGGAGACTTTTTGACTGTGAAATTTCAGGAAAACCAAAGTAAAAGAGGTCAAGAATGTCAAAGGGCCGCTGGACCAGCTTTTCTGGGAATATTTTCGCTCTTCCTACCTCCTGAATTCAAGGGGATCTGTATGTGGACGACTTCTTCCAAAAGCATCTCATGTCCATTGCAAGAATTGACAGATCGGAACAAGTACTACTGGCATCCAAGGTTTGTTTCCATCCCACCAATCTAGAGATACTGACGCTGGACACTTGTCCTCAGCAGCAGTGAAAGATTTGGGCTATAGTTCACAAGAAGAAAGCTAAATCCACACTTCAGCTCTCCAGATTGCAGATCTCCTTCCCTCTGTGTTTTATTTCCTTCCTCCTCATGTGAACTTGAAGGAACAAGAATCTTCTTTCACTTTTATACACTGTAGTTTGTACATGTGGTCGATCCAGCAACTCCCAGCTTAGGTGTTCCTGATTCATCACTTTGTGAATGCAATGAGAGGGCCACCTGCCTGAGTTGTCACCCCACAGCCATGGAACACTGAACCGGGATACAAAGCTCTCTATTTGTCCTGCTCCCATAGAGAGAGAGAAAGAGAGAGAGAGCGCGACTGGTAGCTCCATATCCAAGAAGATGGCATGCAAATCTTCCAACTTAAACTGTCATAACAGTGACGGCACCTACTCGAGATAAGGAGCCCCCTCCGACCCCTTCCCGGTGACGTCACCATGCCCATCTCACGGGTGCTGTGAATGACCGCGCCGCCGGGCGTGACCGACACACGTGTCTCTTTTAGCCAATACCTCGGGTGGCCCCCACCACGAATCTTTTCGGCCAGCTCATACCTTGAACGTGGCCCCCAGTCAATCTATCCATCTAGTTCTAAGTATAAAAGGGTGCGGGTCGGAGGCGTCGAATTGGCATAGCTCGAGAAGAAGCAAGGAGGTGGGCGAAACCCTGCGCTCTGCCTCGTTCCTCCCTTTCCTCCCTATGGACTACTACCTCTTCGACTCCCTGAACCACGAACACTCGCCGGAATCCTCCACCGGTTCCACCGAGCCCTTTCCATGGGCCGGCGTTGGGCTGTTCTACCCGGACGTTCCTCTCCCTTTCAACATGGATGACTCCGAGGAGATGCTGCTGCTCGGAATGCTCGCGGAGGCCTCCGGAAAGGCGTCGTCCTCGTCGGAGGCCTGCGACCGGAGCGTGATCCGGGCCAAGGAAGAAGAGGTGGATTCGCGGAGCAAGGCGGCGGATGAGCCGAAGGAGAAGTCGTACCGGGGGGTGCGGAAGCGGCCGTGGGGGAAGTTCGCGGCGGAGATCAGGGACTCGACGCGGCACGGGATACGGGTGTGGCTGGGGACGTTCGACAGCGCGGAGGCCGCCGCCCTGGCGTACGACCAGGCCGCCTTCTCGATGAGGGGGTCGATGGCGGTGCTCAATTTCCCGGTGGAGCGGGTGCGGGAGTCGTTGAACGGCATCAAGTGCTGGAAGGAGGAGGAGAAGGTGTCGCCGGCGGTGGCGCTGAAGAGGAGGCACTCCATGAGGAGGAAGTGGATGAACAAGAAAGCAAAGGAGAGTGAGACGAGCAGCAGCAGCAGCAGCAGCGTGGAGAGCGTGCTGGAGCTGGAGGACTTGGGAACAGAGTATTTGGAGGAGCTTCTGAGAACATCAGAAGTAGCCAACACTTGCTGACTTCTTCCAATCCTTCTCCACCGCCAGTCTCCCCTGTTCCTCCTTTTTTCCTAAGGGAAACCCCTCACTTGTTCCTTGTATTCCTTTCTTGGTTTGTTCTTTCAGTTGTCCAAGTCAGGATGATCTTTTTTACTTGGCTGTGCTTGGCATGTGCCATACCAAGATATCTCGATATCTTATTTCCCTGCTGCAAATCAATATAGCTTTTGATCCTGTAAAACTGATATTTTTGTACAGGTCAAACACTAATCTTCAAGCAATAATTCTCTGCACTTCCAAATCTGGCCCAACATGTCAATGACAACTACTATTACTTCTGCTACCCTTCTCTCCATTGAAATATGTATTTTGTTAAACAAAGAGACTGATACAACAACAAGAAAAAGACAGATCACCAGGCAATGGACTGACATCCAACACTTTGGATGCTGAATCAACAGAACTATGCACCAACTGTAAGAGGACATATTTATGTGCCATGACTGATGAGGTTTCAAAGCCTCGGGCAGGCGGGAATTCACTCTCTCCTCAGCAGCTGCCTCCCAGTTCTTCTCAAGAAGAATTCACCTGTAATACAAAAGAGTTCTATCATTGAAAGATCATGTCCCAAGTTGCAGAAATGCTTCACTACAAGCTAATCTGAATAACTTGTTATAAATGCATGTCTCCTGCTCATAATGATATTTAGGCTTGCCTAACTTGGTGTATATGCATGGCTTAATGTGTCTTACATCTGCAGTTATATAATATATTGGTTCTTCATGAGATTATGTCTGAAGCAGAAACAGAACAAGATAAACACAGATGAATTCACAAAGATCTCATGGATTATGGATTTTTAAGAGCTTTAATATCTAGTCGTCAAAGTTTTCTGTAAGACCTAAATGCCTGTGTTAAATACTACTCGGTGGATGAAGTTTGACTTAAGTAACACAATAATTCCGAAGTGCTATAGCATAGGAGTAGAATTCCAAGTTGCCATCATTCTATCCAAGACAATGTTGACTCCTCCAAGTAATACGGAGAAAATGATGCAATAGTTTTAGTTTTATCATGGTAAAGTAACATGATCTATTTATGCCACGTACTTGCCCTTAGGTAAGAAGTTCTCACATTATGGTGATTGATAGGTACCTGGCAATGGCACCCATCACATTGATCATGTATCGTCAACAATAAGTGTTATTGGTCAAAGCTAGTTACAGTCATGATAAACTCTCTGCAAGCTTCATATAAGATCGCCTTTTTGGTCAAGGATTTCATGTATCATTTTGGTGTTCAAGTGAATCAAGCAAATTACATCACTGCCTAAAAACTCAGTACAAATACCAGGATGGTTTTTTTCCTTTTGAGGAAGCTAAATCATCATCTAGATAATTTTTTTACCATAAACAGAACATTTATCTTACCATGGAGAAAATTTTGCACCTTTTCTCTTTAGTTTTTGGCTTATTACAACTGAAGTAGGAGACTGGTTGTCAAATTTGAAATGATCTCTTATGCAGTTCTTTCAAATGTGAGAATCCTAGTTTCCTACTCAAAAAGTTTGAGCAGCCATGGTGCAAGAACTAGTGTCGTCTTTTGTAATATCTTCAATGCCTCACATAGCATCTTGGAAACTTCTACAAGCAAAGATAAGCCTCATCATATGATAGTAGGCGGCAAGATATTCAATTTGACGTCTCTTCCTTGGTCATGCACAAAAACACAAGAACTTCGAATGGAATTTGCGAGATGATGCAAGAATCTTGGTGTCACTCGCAACAACAACCACAGGATTCAAATGCACCAAGAGTCAGATGAAAGCTCACGCTTATTTCTGACCATGCATAACCCAACATGCCATTAAGACACAACCACATTTTAAACATGCTGAAGGAAGATATCAATTCCCAAATTGTTGTAGAAACAGGACCATTATCTATAATTGTGTCATTTTCTGAGGGTGTTTCCTTCACACGAAGCTTCCTTTGGTCTTGGAAAGTTGATAACATGATTGTGCAGCAGAAAGCTTCTCTCAAAAGATTTTGGCCAGGATGACTATTCAGCAACATCATAGTCTCACTCAGACATTGACTCAAGACATTTTCTCTACCTTTGGTTTTTTTTTTCTAGCAAATAAGGGACATCTTTGATAACCATTATTCAATTAACGCATCTCCATCTCTCAGGATCTCTAAAGATTAATATAAGAATATCCGTCCGTTGTCTTTTGACTATGCTTTTCAACCTTTAGGCCCCAACGTTTCAGCTTGAACGACACTTGTGGGGAAGCCCTACCATTTGAAGATCTAATTCTCATGAACTTTTGTTACTCAAGTTGACATTCTTGAATTTGCTTTTTCAAATACTAGCTTGTGTTGGTGTCTCACTCTAAGATGGAACATTCACGTACACATGTATTTTTCCATGGCATAATTTCAGCAGATCATTTAGCCCAGTTCATTTTAACATAAAAGTAAAAAGGTAATTATTATTTGAACAAATGCCTGATTGTTTCTACATCCTTAAGTCCGTGATTGAGTGGTCATCTAAGGTGCCTTATCAAAACTAATTGAACTCTTGCTGAATCAATTTTGGTTACTGAAATCAGCATTCTTGCATCTGTTTGTCCAAGCCAGTTGTGGATGTGCCTTGCTCGATGGTGGAAAACTTGCCTTCCAATGTATTTATTCCATTCTATAATTTTAACAGATCAGTGTAGTACCATTCATGTTGGACATAATAGTCCAAAAGTAACTAGTTCTAGACAAACTCATGACTGATTCTGCATCCCTGCATCCATCACTGAGTGGGTAGTTCGAAGTGTCTTGATGACGACCACATTATTTGATATTTCAGTCCATTATTTTAAAATTTGTGCCTTTGCATTGGTGCTTCTTACATGAATTATCCTTTGGGCTTAACTATTATAGTTTCGAGCATGAAGTGTAGGCAAAACTTCAAATAAGTTTTAATTTTCTCAAGGCCTTTCAAATACCCCTAATGTTATAACTCTTATTGAGAAACAAGAAAAATACCAAGTTGTCTTGCTGAACCAGAAAGCAGCATTTTATTTTCCAGGAGATCAAATAATTTTTTAGGAGATCTTCATTTCTTTCTTCTTCTTTCGCAAAGGTAGTACGAATCAAGTGCAATGATTTTTTTTTCCTGCCTTGAAAAGCGACATATGAGTTCAATAACTTGGTATTGTAGTATCCATGAACCCTGTAACTAATTATGATTTGTTCTCATTGTAGTACTGATTTTTTCTCTCTCTTTTCTTTTTCTTTGTTGTTCTCCAGGACATCACTTTTGGACTTAACTACAGTATTGTAATTCATATCAAAATTAGAAATAACAACTTAAAACTAAAACAAGTTGCATTGAAAGCCACCACATGTACCAAAAAGCTCTAGAATTCAGAATTCTATATGATTTTTGAAAAACGTTATGTAGATACATGGTGGTAAAAGGGGCTAATTCCAGATTACCCCTTGTATTTGGACCCTATTAATATCGCGGTCCTTGCACTTAAAATTTATAATGAGATCCTTATAGTTCTAAAAGTGAAACAAATGACCCCATTTTCCTTAACGTCATTGACTGCACTGACAGAAGATATTGCACGTGGAATCATGTGCTGGATTGGCAAAAAATCTATAGGCAAAACGGTAATTTCAATGTCCCTTTCATTTCCTTTTGTTTTGCCCAAATTAAAAGGTAATTTCAACATAACGACCAATACTACCGGACGTTGCCATCTCTGTCTCCACCTACTCTGTTCTCTGTCCCAATAAGCAAAAAAGAGGCTCATTTCTCTTTATAGGATTCAAGCACAAGAGACAATTTTGTGTAATAACATGACTCAGAATGTTGTCTTCTCTTAAAAGCGATTATACTGAAACCACATAAATAATCTCCATATAAACCCAATATAATAACATGTCATGTAATCTATCACAACAAAACATTTTCAAACCATCCTCATCAAGCAGATAAGTTGTGGCTACTGTTCGGACAGGAAAGGAGAGCATACTCTTGTTGGACATTGTAGTGGCAGCAATAGCGGTCACTGCATGGCGAATGAAGACACCGCGAGAGCTCACGAAAGGGACGGAACTGGAGGCGAGGACAAAGATGGAAAGAGTCATGAAGCATGGGAGAAGAGGAGGGGAGATGGAGGAGCGGAGGTAAGCTCCGGAAGGGGCTACGAGTGGACGGGGAGGCAAGCAGCAGAGGGTGACAGAGAGATGTTGAAATTACCTTTTTGCCCATCGATTTCGCGCCAGTCCAATATGTGATGTCACGTGCTGTGTCTTTCGTTAGTTGCAATCAACGACATTAGAGAAAATGAGATCATTTGTTTCACTTTTAGGACTATAGGAATCTTAATATAAATTTTTAAAATACAGAGACTATGATGCTAATAGGGTCCGAGTACAGAAAATAGTATGCAATTAACCCTAGTAAAAGATATCCTCTATACTAAAAGGTTCTTTGGATACATACTCCATCAAGACCGGCATTGAGGATTCCCACCACCATGTTCTTATATCTTGGCTTAACTTAGAAAAGGGAGGAAAGTTACGTAGCATACTCTCTCCACACAATAACTTGGCAGAAGCACCCATATCCGTAGTAGGCATATCCAGTGAAAGTTATATGTTGACCTTTAGAAAAGATGTCAATCTTAAGGATTTCACATGGTGACAAAGGTTTGTCAATATGATTGGTTCCTTTTTTTAATCTCGGGTGCCTTGATACCAAGAATCTAAACATGAGGTTTTAGCAGGACATCTACAATTAGACAATTAAATGAGGTCAGATACATAACAAACACCCTATTTAGGATCCCTACTACAACAATAATTTGAGAATTTTACTATTATAGCTCAGCAAGCTTAAAGGTGATTTCCTAAATGTAGTAAGAAGTTTCCGACTGTTTCAAGGAATTATTACCAAGCTATTAAATACAATTAGGAACAGGACATCTCTAAATCCAGGAGATATTCAACTGATACTAGCATTACTTATAAAATTATTTTGTCCCCATGAAAGAGAACCAACAAAAATTAATATGATTCAAATAAAACATACAAGCACCAGCTGATGATGAATAATGAGAGCATGAGTGTATACGGCAGCAATATTCAGATAGATAAAGTAACTCTGCAGTCTACAATACCTTTGAAAGGGTTAAAATTCAGCAGATCCATGGGCCATGCTGCTGTCTCATATTTCTTGCAGGTTTCATTGCCTCAAAGAGCCATGATGCTGGACTCTTGGTTCTTGTAGTCCGAGATACTTGATTAAATTTTAGTACATTCAATACTGCAGAAAAGAGCTAAGTAATCAGACCATCGATGAATAATTTGGAAGACAACAACAATCTGCAGTTATGCTGACGAGGCAAAAGTATCAATCAAATAAAAGTATGCATTGTTGACGTTCATTTTGTGGAGACAGTATAAGCTATTGCAGACACAGTTTAATCATATATGCTCGAGGCCAAGAATGCAATCCAATTATGATGGCACACCAAAACACTCATGTACTGCAAAAACTGTATGAAGTTTCAATCATGAACAACAAGATCAGAACATGTAAATATCTAAATAACAAGATATCCAAAATGTACTGAAAGCATACCCAAATGTACAATTGAAATTCCAAGTGTATTAAACATATATTTATGTTTAAAGTTATCCAGCAATTACTTCTTTGATAAACCATTGTACAGAAAATTAGTAAACTCAAAACTTATCGCCTTACATAAAACTTTCAAGATATCTGATAAACACTAGTTATTTATGTACCTTGAACACTTAGAGAATTTCACCCTATGGATGCTTAGTATGCTTGTCCATTCAAGTAAAGTTACACACAACCATGCCCGTAAGTAGTCAAGTATTAGTGCGAAAGACAAATCAGTTCTAGTGCAGCAGTTTGATTCACAGCATGACTAAAATGGAGAAATAGAAAATTTTGGAACATTATTGAACAACAAAGATCTTTGAAAAGACATATATCATGAGGCCCTGCCTTAATTTATTAGCGAAGAAAGGTGAAACCTTGATGGGAAAGGAGTGATGATCCTCGCAGAAACTCCAGGCTTTGAGCTACAGACTCTGCTGCCATCCTCGCAGAAAGGAGTGATTTATTCTACTTTCTCTACTTTATTTCTGAGTATTCTATTCATTGTGGTTTCGAGCCTCAATATCCTGACTTTTGCAAATTAGGCGATCTTCTATCCTATTTTCTAGTTTCAATGTGACTGGTTCCTGCTGATCCAATCTTGTTATTCTCAATTAAATTGGTTCTTTTACACAATACAACAATCTGATCCTTCTTTGAGAACTGTGCAGCAGCATCTCGTGCCACCAGCCATATCTGCACTTACAATAGGTGTTCTCTTCATCAGCGATGGTGCCAAATATCCTGGCTAAGAAGGATTCTGGCTGAGTCTGCAAGTGGAAGCTTCACAGGTAAAGGACCATAAACAGAAGCCTGATAATTGCATAAACTATCACAATAAAATGCAACAAGAGACCTTAGCTGGAAGCCAAAAGTATCATCGTTGGTGCAAATGCCATTAAGTGCGAACAATTTGGCAATTGATGATTCTAAAATGTCTCAGGAAGCCGACTATGCTGATGAAATAGAAGATGATGTCTGACCAAGCTGATGTGAAGATAGCTTTCAACAATTCAAGGAAGTCAGGAGAGACCGTTGCTATCTCAATTGTGGAAAGTGATACAATGCAGGAAGCATATGAGAATAGAAGAGAGCTTTGTGTTTCTGCAGATGACAATTTTGTTTGCTGAATTGTATAAAAACAAACAATCAATCATTATCCAGCCAGTGCTCATCTTCTTCGATGTGTAAGCCGTGAAAATGAAGGAAAAAGGAAACAAGAGCAAATTGCAGCATGTCAAGATAGCCCCATTTGTTTCTGTTTCGTAGTCCCTGCGAGGGGTTTGAAGCATAACCCAGCGAGTCACAGCGAGTCAGCCAGTTAAAGACCAGCGAACCGGCCGAGTTGACTCGCCCACTCGTTCATCTGGGGCCAACGGATGTCAGGTAGCGGGTGGGAGTTGTCTTCAGCCGGTCGTCCCACGCCTTGGCCTGGATTAGCAGCTTCGACAGCTTCCCCGCCACCCACACCATCTGCGGCCTCTCCGCCGCCTCCTCCGCCACGCACCTCAGCGCCACCCGCATCCCCTCCTCCGCACCATCCACCGGAAACGAGTCGCCCAACCTCCTGTCCACCCACCTCCTTATCCTTCCCCTCCTCCCCTCCTCCTCCTCCTCCTCCTCCGCCTCGTCCTCTCCTTCCGGCCCCATCGCCGCCCTCGCCGTCTCGATCACCGACACCTTCTCGATGGCGTCTTTCTCTTGGCAGAACCGGTACCTCACCGGCTCCTCCCCTGAGAGAAGCTCCAGGAGCACCACCCCAAACGCGAACACGTCGGACCGACGCGACACCACACCGCCGGCGAGCACTTCCGGCGCCATGTATCCCCTCGTCCATTCGATCTTCTTCCCTCGGCTCCTCGACCTCGCCAGCTCCGCCGCCGCCGCGGCCGAGTCGTCCAATACCTTCCCATCAATGTCGTCATCGTTGGCAGGAACCTCGCCGGCCAGCTCTGCGGCGCCGAAGTGGCAAATCTTGGCGCGCAGGCCAGGCTCAGTGATGATGATGCCGGAGCTCTTCACCCAGTTGTGGACCGTCTCGGAGTGGTGGTGGATGTACTCGAGGCCCTGAGCGACGTCGGCGGCGACCTGAACGCGGGAGAACCAGGAAGCGAGCGGGGTGAAGCTGGGGTTTTGGGGGTTCCTGAGGCACCGGAAGAGGCTGGCGCCGGCGACGTAGCTATAGACGATGTAGATATAGTCATCTGCGAGGGAAGCGCCGAGGAGCTCCACGACGCTGCCATGATGGCTCCGGCAAAGGGCGGCGATGCGGGAGGGCAACACGGCGGTGTTGCCGAGGAAGGGGCGGCGGAACACAACGGCATCGCCGCCGCGTAGGCGGCAGCGCCATGAATCGGCAGAGGGGGACAGCGGCGGCGAGAGGAAGCGATCGGTGGCGGAGAGGATCTCGATGAAGGAGTAGTGGAAGGGGTGGCTTTCCTGGGAGAGGGAGAGCCGGAGGTTGGCAGCGACGGAGGCGGCGGAGGAGTCGAAGTCGGAGTCATAGAGGAGGCGGCGGGCGTGGCGGTCGCCGCCTGTACTGGCGGAGCTGGCAACGGGGGCGAAGTAGTAGGAGGGGCGGACTGCGTCGGAGGCGGCGGAAGCCGAGGGCGAGGATGTGGGCTTGGGTCGGGGACTGGCGGCGTCAACGTCCTTTCGGGTCTTGCACATATAGAGTTGGCTCCGAGGATCACGAGGCGAGTTTAGTCGGGACGAAGCCCGCCCTTGGCAGCCATTCATCTGCGTCCTCGATTGAGGTGCGGAGGTTTTCGTCCCTTCCGATGATATTAATATTAGGCGATCAGAGACAGTGCAGTCCAACTCAGGCTGACGCTGCCGTTGGATGGCGGGCATTGACATCGACGCAAGATTCCGGCAGGTTGCACATCGAGATTTAGTCAACGCCGTCTATTTGAGTGGTCAAAGTCAAAGCTCCCAAAGTGGTTGCACGCAAATTTTCTGCGGCCTTGTCTTGTTGGCCAATTTATGTGTTTTTATTTATGAGCGTCTTATTTATTTGGAACACCTCAATTTATAACAGCATGATTATGAGGTGACAAGCTATTTGCCCATCTGAGTTGAATCGGGAATAATGGCATTTGCCGAATAAATGTTGTGGTTGTAGGTTGACAACGATCCAATTTCTTGCAAGTTGCACTGTTGACTTGAGACGTGCGAATCAGGCTTTCTATTCTTTCAACTTTTTTTTGCGTTGACTTTGGCACTCATATGTTTCATGCAGATGCGGGCACTCTGTTGGTCAACTATGTCATGATCGATCAATAGGAACACAACATGACTGAGTCGTCGGTAAATCTCTTCAGCATATTTGAATTCTAACTTGTTACAGAGATCAGCTTAACATAACCATGATCAAGTGTCTCAAGAATCAAACAAGAGTGAAAACTGTGTTTACGAGCCACAAATATCACGAAATTATTCCCTGTTAACATCAAATTATTAAGATGCCATTTCCGACTCCAAATTCCTTGCAAGTACATGAGAAGTTCACCGGTAAATCTAGAGTAAGCAATAACCAGCCACTAATTGCAAAACCATACTTGAGTTTTCGGTAGGAGAAGACAGAGATCACCATTTACAAAACCACCGATCGCAAAAATTTTCGACGTAAAAGGACACCATCAATATACAGACACACAATTTCGGTAAAACGTTTCAGATTTCACAAGAAAAAAAGAGAACACATGTAGTTCAGACGCGCAAAAGATACTGGAATTCAGAATCATTAGGAATGACATCCACCATATGAGATATCTTCCCATCTGTATGGCCTTTGAAGCACTCGAGCATGGATTTCCTTAGAGGCCAAGAAGTTGGAAGCTGTTTGATGATCCACTCAGCTAGAGAATCCAAGTCTGTGGCGAAGTCGTGCATCTTTGAGAACAGGAAATGTGGGATCATTACCCTTCTGTTAGCTGTGACTGCTATTGAAGCTTGCAGGTAGTCCAACTTTGATTTTTCCAGTTCACCTGTGACACCATCAGCTGTGTATATCCTGACCTAATCAAAGATTTAGGACAAATTTCATGTGAAGGCCATCAAGTACAATCATTTGTGCATTTGCCCATTAAGAAATTTGTTTGTTATGATTAAAAAAATGACATGATAACAATTGTCCAATGTTATAAGAACGTCATTTAAAGGTTTTACTTACAGCAGGGGAAGATTTACACGCAGAGCATAATGCAAACACAATATTGGGGTCTGAGTGCTCCAATCCATAATTTCTCCTTATGACTTTCTTATAATCCTCTTGAACTTCTTTCCATTCAGTCTATTCAGTAATCAATGGAATACATATCAATATCTATATAGGTTCCATTTTTATTAGATTAAGCTTAACATACCTCATTATAGTTTAATGGTTGTCTTAGAAGAAGGTGCTCTATAGCTTGAGCATTTAGTTTGCTACCTCCTACATCAAGCAGAGCCTGCAAAGAAAGAAGAGAAACAGAACCTTGATGTTTTCAATCATCTCACAGATGACAAATGATCTATTAACACTATCATGCAAAGGATTTTTGTACCTTATCCTTTACTACCTGAACCATCTCTGGATTTGAGGGCATACCAAGTTCTAAAATACCCTGTAAATGGTATACACCGAATGTCAGGTAATTGTCTTTGAACAAAGATCAATAAGAATCTGAATGGAAGCGGACGTAATCATACTATACATGCATGATGCAAGTGTGGTAAACATTGATCCAAAAAGCTAATTTCTCTTGGTGCCTCAAAGATCTCAAGTCCACCTCATGAAGTCTGCTAATTAAGATCCTGTGACATTAGTTTGACCACTAAACAACATTACAATTTCCTAAAAAGAATAAAAAGGAAATTAAGCATAACAAAAGATTATGGGTTAATGAGATAATAAAAACAGAAGTGTAATTCTAGGCAATAACTTCAGAAAAACATGATTATTTTAATAGGAATTATGCTTAGTATTTCCATCTACCAAGTATTTTTTTGATGCATTCATGTTTACAGAATCTACATGGCTAGATATACTAAACAAAGAAGCATCACAGACATTGATACTAAACAAATTACCTTAATTTCTTCAATAGAGGAAGAGAATAAGAAATGTCCTTATGGTCCAGTGAACTGGAGGTAAATTTGATGAGGTTCTTGTAAGGGCCAATATCCCTTAAAATAGAGCCTTCAATTTCAAAAATTCCATAAGGATCATGGTGCCTTATCTCCCTTTGAGCTGGAATTCTTCCTTTCCTAATAGAACTGCCATCTATCTCAAAGCTTCCTGATCTTAGCAGTAAGTTGGCAGATTTTGACAGGTTGCTGGATTTTTCTAGATCCAATGCTCGCGATGTTCTTGATAATCTTAAGAAAATACAGATCAAGAAATTCAATATTTTCTCAGATAACTTGTTCGGATGGTACTTTCCAGCATTCTGGTCCGTTAAATTTATGGTTGAAGAAGGTTCTCTGAATAGCTTGAGCACATTTTCCACATTTGTGTTCTGGGGAAGGGAAAAAAAAAAAACATAGTCATAAACTAAAAGATTGACTCTATAAAATTGGAACACAGACATGTATTTCAAGCATTCCAGATTGCAATAGCAGAAAATTATTCAAAGAACAGTGAGAACCACTGTTACATGTAAGAATTTTCTTTTATCATGAATCTCTAAAAAAATACCATCAAGTAAACAAAATTTAAACTCTTTGTGACAGAATATTACAATTCTGTGATGATTTTTACGAAGGTAAGACTTGCCACCCACTTATTTAAATCAAGTTAACAGAAACTCTGACTGTTAGTGAGAATTATGGCTCAATTTCTGTTCTTATTTAGGAAATAGATAGAGCACAATAGTAAATATTGATCAACTAGCTTTATGTATAGCCAAGCATCCTTCTAAGTCTAAACCATAATTAAAACAATATAACATGTTCATGACAACAATCTTTTCCATATATTATGTTTCTCCTTTTTTGGTCATAAGATAGTAATATCATAGATCAAAAATTGAAACTAAAACAATACAGTGTAATGCAAAAAAACTAGACTTACTTGGTTCGTTGGATACTTTCCTGGCAACTTAATTGAGGATGCCTTCTCTGTCCTTCCATTTTTCCTTGAAGCCCTCTCTTTAATTTCCACCGTGCTTTGGTTTTCATTATGGTTGTCAGACCTATTTAAGCTTCCAACATTTCCTTTCTTGACGAAACCATTAACTAAATAGTCTCCTTTTATTGCCTGGTTTATAAAGAACAAAGGTTTGGTTTCTAGTGCTATCTTTTGTGATAATTTGTCATTAGGCACATCCAAATTGGTATCCGACATATTGCTTGGAGGTTCAATTACATTCCTGTTTGCATGCCTATATTCATAAACTTTAGGGGTCTCTTCTTCGTGAGCTTCTCGCATGTTTGATAGGCTTTCTTGAGCTTTACTTATTTCATGTTCAAGTCGAACTATCTCCTCTTCCACCATGACAACTTCTGCCAGAAGTTCCTTTGTCTGTGCAAAGTCAAATAAGGAGTTCTCAGCAGCCAAATAATTTGATATATTTATATTCCTCTTAAGTGGAAAAAGAATCAACAGCTTATAATTGCTATTTAAACAAGTTAACAGTAGTCAAATGTTGAGCTTGGAAGGAAGATGTACCCTTCTTGGAAGGAAACTTGGGATCTGAAGGGTTGATCGAGTTTTTGGTGGAAGCATTGCATGCTCCAAAACTTCGTGCATTTTCTCTTCATTTCGGAGCATCCTCTGCAGTTCAGCCACCTGGAAATCAAACCAGTCATCTTCAGCACAATGAATCCCAAACTCTGAGCAAATCATTTTAATAGCACACTGTCTTACAGGTTGGACATATACTATAGAAGAGACAGCATCAGAGAAACTAAAGAAAAGAAGGGAAGAGCACACCAATTGTTTAGCCCCTTGGTTGGAACAGGGAGAAAATAAATATTTGATTAAAATTATCCCTCCTCTCTAATTTTTTCCAACTTATGGGAGAAAGAAAAAAAATGATCTCAAGAAGAAAATGAGACATTTTTTGTTTACTTTCCCACTCAATTCTTTGTCGTTCTATCCTCTGTTTCTTTTCTTTTTGCCCCAATGCTTGATATAGACAAAGTACAATAAGAACGGAGTCCCAAGTGTTGTTCTATTAGCTTCTACCCTAAAAAGACCTCTTTTTGTATGTGTGCGCTATTAGGAACTCACCTCCTTTTCAAGCTCTAACCTTCGATGTTGGATACTGTTGCTCTGCTTTCCCTGCATGTAGACGAAATGGATGAATCAAACAGTGCTTAGATTCGTGGCCACTGAACCACAGAACGCTTACCACGGCATGGGCAGCAAGGACTGCGACACGACCGTCGTCGCCGAACGCCATGAGGTGGTTGCAGCAGGGAGAGCCTCAACTTGGGCCGAGTGCAGCATCCCGAACTGCCACTTAAAGAGGGCAGCGGGCGGTGGCGCTGTTGGTGGATGCTGTTCTGGTAGGAGGAGGCTTGTAGCTCAAGGAAGAAGAGTGGAGTCGGGCGTTCACTGGAAGATGGAAGGGAGCTTTCGAGGAGGTTGGCCTCCGAGGCTTCTTTGCTTCGCTTATAATGTCAGCTTTGCGGAGGTTTGGCTTCTCGTCACCTTTCAGAGGCATGATTTTAATTGGGCTTTAATTGGGCTTTAGTTAGCGGATAAAAATCTTGGGTTCTCGAATGTTCTGCGGACTCCGCCCCGTCTCTTCCCCCATGCCCTCAAAACCCCTCCCTATTAAACCTGAAACCCTCCTCTCCTCCCAACCTTATCCTGAGGGCTTCCTCTTTCGCAGCAAGCTTCGCTCTCCTATCTCCTCTTCGAAATGGCTTCCGCCAACGCTATCTCCACCGCCTCCATCCTCCGCTCCGCGTCCCCCCGCCAGGTTCCCAATCTTTCCCCTCGTCGTAGGGCGCAACGAAGCCAGTCTCTTGGTGTTTCGGTGCTGATCTGGGGAGATAATTCTGTTCTTTTGACTGAGATTTATTTTGTTTTTTGGTGGAATAGGAGAGCCTGGGAAGGAGAGTAAGCCAGAGGCATGGGCATGGGTACGAAGGCCGCCGGAAGCTCGTCGTGCGGGCCATGGCTAAAGACATTGCCTTCGATCAGAATTCCAGGTCGTCGCTCCAGGCCGGCGTCGAGAAGCTCGCCAATGCTGTCGGTGTTACCCTCGGCCCTAGAGGTGCTCGGTGAACCTCCCTTTAATTCCTTTGCTATGGGTTCTTTGAGTTATTTGAGGTTTTGTGGTTATAATCCGTCGTGGTTTTTGCGTCTGACGCCCTGAGTGCTACGAGACTCGTCAGCTTGAGGAATTAAGTGTTATTGTTCGTTAATATATGTGTATACCTGTATACGTTAGGGATTGGTCCTTTAAGGGAAAAAGGCTTCATTTTCTAGCTGTTACATGCATTTGCCATTATTTCTGACATGACTTTTAAAGCGCCATGTTTTCATAGTTCACTAGTTGTTTTACTGTGGCTTCTGATATCTGTTAGTGAAATTTGTAGTAAAAAGAACAACTAAAAGTTTGAGGTTTTGTTTGTTGATTGCGTGTTTTTTGCGGATACCTGTGTGGTTGGAGCTTTTCGGTTATATCTAAGTTTAACATCGGATAATGATTTCAGGGAGGAATGTCGTGTTGGATGAGTATGGGGCTCCAAAAGTGGTCAATGATGGGGTAACTATTGCTCGTGCCATTGAGCTCGCAGATCCAATGGAGAATGCTGGTGCAGCATTGATTCGTGAGGTATTCAAATTGTTATCTGGATGCATATCTTAGTATGTAAAATAGCTTCTTTGTGTACTTGAGATCCTTGTAAAAAGACAGGGTATGGAATGTAAATTATGTTTTTCTTTTAAATGTAAGGTTGCTAGCAAGACAAATGACTCAGCTGGAGATGGCACCACAACTGCATCAGTTCTTGCACGTGAAATTATTAAGTTAGGTTTGTTGAGTGTTACTTCTGGTGCAAATCCTGTCTCCATTAAGAAAGGAATTGATAAGACTGTTAGTGGTCTGGTGGAAGAGCTTGAGAAGAAAGCCCGGCCTGTAAAAGGACGAAATGACATCAAAGGTCATATTTTTGCTTGTGTGCATCTTGTTTCTCCATGTTAATATTCTTTATTCTTTGCTTTTATCCACACCTTTGTGAAGCTGTTGCTCATATCAATTAGAAGGATTAAACACTGTTAAAGTTTTATAGATTCTCTCTTTTTTCTTTAGTATGATTGTTCATTGAAGATATATTATTTGCTGTTGTAGCCATTGCAACGATCTCTGCCGGTAATGATGAATTTATAGGAACCATGATTGCTGATGCTATTGATAAAGTCGGTCCAGATGGTGTTCTTTCTATTGAGTCGTCATCATCGTTTGAGACCACAGTTGATGTGGAAGAAGGGATGGAGGTTAGTTTAATTATTAAATATTGTGGACCTTCTTCTCTTCTTTTTGGTGTGTTGAGGCCTGAAGTTTTGTGAAAGATTTGAAGCCTTTAATTCCTGCTTTTGTTTTGTGCAGATTGACCGAGGCTACATCTCGCCGCAGTTTGTGACAAATCCTGAGAAGTTACTTGTTGAGTTTGAAGATGCAAAAGTTCTAGTGACTGATCAGAAGATTTCAACAATAAAGGAGATTATACCTTTGCTGGAGAAAACCACCCAACTGAGAACCCCTCTTCTCATTATTGCCGAAGATGTTACTGGTGAGGCTTTGGCAACTCTAGTTGTGAATAAGCTTCGAGGTATTCTGAATGTTGCTGCAATCAAAGCTCCTGGGTTTGGTGAAAGAAGGAAGGCTCTTCTTCAAGATATTGCCATTGTAACAGGTATTCTTTGAATTTGCTTACTTAATTGTGTGTTGATGTCCTGTACTTTGTTACTATTACTACAATTGGGATTTAGCTCTCAACTTTGTTTAGCACCTGTCATCTTCTCATTTATGAATTATTTAGAATCATTTGTTCTATAAAAAAAATTCTAAACCTAATGAGGGCCTGAGACAGTCTATGAATGGCATATGGTAACTTTAATGGATTTTCTTTTAGGGCACTTGGGTACTGAGCCAGCTATCACAGGGTCAGAAAATTTCTGTTGGATTTAAAGCTGATAATTTGTCTAAAACCAACTTTGTACACAAACTTTTATCCGTTGCCCATCTTATCTAGTTATTATATGCCATTAGCTTTGATTTGTTTACATTTCTATTTGTTGTTTGAAAACCCTCCTCTAGTATTGCCTTCAGGGCAAGCAAAATTATAATTGCATTCCTCAACTTGCATGTTACTTTTTCCCCCTCTTGAATTCATGGATTTGGATTATTGTGATTTCTGCATACTGGTCATATATGCCAAACTGATTTGGTATGCCTTACTTTGGTTTTGAGAGTAAAATCTGGTTATTTAGGTAAATAAAATGACTTTCTAGTTGAGAGTTAATTAATTCATTTTTTTTAAAAATGATAGCTGTCTTGTATCCTTTGACTACTCAGTTCTTTATTTTTCTCCCAATAGAACTGAAAGTTTATATTCTCCTTTCATTGTCACCAAGAGACTGCTACATTTGATAATTTAATTGTTGTCTTTTAGAAGCATTCTTTTTTACACTTATCTCTGCTGTTCTATTTCTTATCCAAGTATCAAACTAGGACCATTTTCTAACCAGCATCTGAATATTACTTATTGCTTTTCCTGTTTGGTGTTTATTTTTCGATCATATGGCAAAAGGTAGTTGACAAGCTTAAACTGATACAACATTTGACAGACGATGCACTTAATACTTCTGTAATGATGATTTAACCATTAGTTGTACTATTTTCTTCTTTTGAGTTACCCGAAACTCAATGCTTTTGAAAATCGAAATGCTATTATTTTTTCTTATTTCTGGCCATCTATTGTGCTGTCTTTTGTTTAGGAGCTGAATTCCAAGCCAAAGATCTTGGCTTACTGATTGAAAACGTATCGGTTGAGCAACTGGGAACAGCAAGGAAGATCACAATTGCCCAGACTTCTACTACCATTATTGCTGATGCAGCATCCAAGGATGAGATTCAGGCCAGAATTGCCCAGTTGAAAAAGGAGCTTGCTGAGACAGACTCGGTGTATGATTCTGAGAAGCTAGCCGAGAGGATTGCTAAGCTCTCAGGTGGTGTGGCAGTTATAAAGGTCGGTGCTGCAACGGAGACAGAACTCGAAGACCGCAAGCTCAGAATTGAGGATGCCAAGAATGCCACTTTTGCTGCTATAGAGGAAGGCATAGTTCCTGGTGGAGGTGCTGCGCTGGTTCACCTCTCTACCACTGTACCTGCCATCAAAGACAAGATTGAAGATGCAGATGAGCGCATTGGAGCTGACATTGTGCAAAAAGTAAGTCATGGTATTATTACATTCAAGCTTCTCCTACAGATTCATCAAATTCCAATCATCATCTGTGGACCAGACTTCAAGTATTTTCTTTCATAATTTAGACTAATTTGCGATTGTACAGGCACTGGTGGCACCTGCGGCTTTGATTGCAGACAATGCAGGTGTAGAAGGGGAAGTTGTGGTAGAGAAAATTAAGGACAGCGAATGGGAGATTGGTTACAATGCCATGACCGACAAGTACGAAAATCTAGTGGAAGCTGGAGTTATCGATCCAGCTAAAGTGACACGGTGTGCCCTGCAAAATGCTGCATCTGTTGCTGGAATGGTGTTGACGACACAGGCGATTGTCGTGGATAAGCCTAAGCCAAAGGCTCCTGTGGCTGGACCAGCTGAAGGAAGTCTCGCCATCTAATCATTCTTATGTGGCCTTGCAGAATTAGGTTACATGTTATATTTGGATGCCACTCTTGGAGCATTTTTTCGAAGTTCGGTTATTGGTTCCATCATCGACATTTTTGTGCTGCCTTTTTACCTTTGATGTCATAACCTCTCGAGATTATGCTTGAAAAAGTAGGGAAAGGTCTATTGATGTTGTCTGGAAAAATATTTGATGTTTGTTATCTCAACAGCTGAAGCTTGAAATGTGAATGTGCAACGTCGTCTCATCGGCGAAGCTTACGGACACTACTCTATCAGATAGGAAGGTACCCATCTCCATATCAATAGGAAGGTACAATGAATAAGATCGTAAGCATCAAAAAGTCAACTTCCTAGTAGTTATACCATGATACTCATGTCTTTAGAACTAACTATCATCATAGATACTGTTAGGCACATCAACACTTAAAAACTCTTTTTGTTAACAAGAGAAGAACCAATCAAATCTTGAAGAAGCCAACATGTATTTTCCATTTCATCATACTGCAATGCATAATGGCAGTGTAGGCAAGTGTCTTGATCCAAAGTAATTAAGCTTTAAGCTAAGTCTTCTTTCATTTCCAATATGGACTTACCATAGATATTATAGTTTCTCTCACTTAAGGACCTGAATCAAATCTTAGCAACATATATATGAGACTTTGTCCACTGGTGACTGATGTATCTCTGACCTTATCTACCTGGTAACCTACTCTGCAGGGTATTGATTGCATTTACTTGTATAAGAATTGTAACATATCCTATATATAATAGTTTCATGGTAGTTAGCCTCTTTTGTTTTGTATGACTAAGATAAGAGAGTTTTCGTAACTATGATGGAGGTTATGTAATAGCAATCCCATAGTCCCAAAAACTGTAAATTTGTGACGAAAATATTAGAACTATAATGATGGAGATGTGTCATATAGTAAAACTTAAGCTTTACATGCATTGCTACTACCATGAACATGTAACAAATCTAAAAATTTTCACATAGTGAAGAATGCATAGATTTTTCGGTAAAATGAATCACAAAATAAGTATAAGTTAGGTAATTTACTGTATAAATGATGGTGCATGTGGTGGTCAATCTATGTCTTGTATATTTGCTAGAGTATTATAATCTTAATGTTAGTGGTGACAGAGAGCTTCTCAGGGTCTTATCGTTGTTCTGATACCAATTGATAAGATCCTAAAGTTTTATCGTAAAATAAATAAATAAAATGATAAGGCTCTGATACCAAATGATAAGACCCTAAAGTCTTATCGTCGCTCTGATACCAATTGATAAAATCCTAAGGTCTTATCGTGGAAGAAAGAGGAGAAAATGATAATGATCGCTTTGAGAGGATCAACCTTCTTGACCGCTTCGAGGGGATCGACCCTCCTTGATCACTTCGAGGGGATCGACTTACACTTTGCAAGCAAGCATGCATGCATACATTTTGAAGAGTTCATCACATATGATCTTCCAAAACTGAATTTCTATCATCCAACTCTAATGTTATGTTCAAATCCTTGAGATTATAATTTCATGCAACTTCAAGAAATAAGTGCGAAATTAATGGGTATTTGCCAGTGTGAACTAATGCATTTTAGTAAATCATCTGAGGAATCAGATGATGCAAATGTTCAGCATTTACTTCTGTGCAGAAGGACAGGAACTATTGCTGCACGCAAGAACAAGCAGTCGACTTGTTACTGTTTAGAAGTGCTAATTAGGATGTTTGCTCATTGTACATTTTAACTCAGACTTGTTAAACCAAAAACCTATTGAATCAAGCAATGCTAAATACCAAGCCATTGTTGTCACATGTGTACTAACCTGTGTTCTTGCAGATGTACCTGCAGGTCATATGGGTTAGAGAGAGAGAAGGGTGCTTGAAGGCAATAGAGCATGAAGATTCAGCTTGTGCAAACCATTTATTGTACTTCAAATGGAGGAATGGAGTATATACCTTTGGAATATGTGTTGTGTAAATGTTAATCTACAAAATGGCTTGTGAGAGTCTGGTAGATTTCTAATAAGTGATCAGGAGTGATGTCAATTGCTGGACATCTCAGTAAATGATATCCCTGAGAGTTGTCCTCACTGAAGCTTACAACTTACCAGAGGAGGTTTGATATTAGATTCTGAAACTATGTTATCAGAGGAGGTTTGATGAAGCATCAAAATCAAAGGAAATAAGAGCCATTCCAGAAAATATATTCTTCAGATCATATGGTAATTATCCTGCCATCTCCTCTGAATTATAAGGTTAATTAATGGCATTTTTCAGGGAACAATTAGTACCTGTGTTTGCATGCAATGTTGTGATCCGTTAGAACGGTAGATTGAGACGCAAACTGGAAAAGAGAAGGCAAATACAATAGCTGATTGCTTGTCATGGAGGCAAACATACCGTCCGCACTCCACGTAGCAGCCAGCCACAGCCTTTTCCTGGGATTAGTCGCTTATTGCCGATGCAGCATCATCAAGATTCTCATTTGGAATCATAGCTTGACGACGCAATTTATGTGAATCTTGAAGATGATGCACCCGCAAACATCGACTGCTCTCAACCATTAATGATCCTCAAACGCTCCAGAAAGCGAGGCGGACCCAAGACCGAAGACATTGTAGAGAGAGAGGGAGAGAGGGGTGTGAGGCGTGTGGATAGGACGGATTAATGGGTGAAAGCATCTCTGGATTTGGATCAAAACGATCCCACGAAAAACTAAGTACAGATCTTTGCACATGATCAAGACGTAGAGATCAATATTGGTTCTGGCCGCCACAAACCTCTCACTGGAGCAGATAAGAAGAAGAAAGAAGAGTGCAAAGATCAGATGCATCTTCCGTTTTGAAGTGGGTCCTACTGGTTAGAGAAAAGACTGCGCATGTGAAAGGAACTATGTGCTGCCGGTCAACGCAGGAAGAAGACTTGAAGAACTTGATCGAGTAAACGCATTGCAGCCACAGAACCTGAAACCTGATCCCAGAGACGAGAGAGAGAGAGAGAGAGAGACTGGTTTATCTCTAGCTTTGGGGTGTGGCCTTCGTTGCCATGGGAAGGAAAGATCTTAAGAATGAGGACTATGTTTCTACCAATTTTGTCCGACGCCATCGCAGCTACCTGTCATATGATTGGATAAAACTTCGGGACCCATCTTCGGATCCAATAACCGGGCAGAAGGGAGATTCAGCTAAACGATGTGAGTGATCTGATCGGAAGATTCACCCTTTGTCACCCCTGAAACATTGCAGGGTTGACGTCGCGTGATTCATATGCATGTGTGAGGCGACACACCCACGACAATTTTCGCTGATGATTCGATCAGCTAACTCAAAGTAACTGATGAAGAAAAGAAGATGATGATGAAGATGGACGGCTGACCTCCCTAAATTGATCTCTCTCTCTCTCTCTCTCTCCCTCGAGTTTATATGAACTCCAGCGTGAGTAGGGTTTAAGGGAACAGCTGCACAGTAGCCAAAGCTTTGGAAACATTAAACAGCATCAAGCCAAGCACCATCAATAACCCGTAAACTATCTCCATCTCTATCTTTCTTCAAGTGACGCACGACCTCCCTCGTCATGCACTCATGAGCGATGAAGAAGAAGATCCACCGGGCGTGTTGATGTTGGGTACTGAACATTCTTTGGCACTCTTTTCCATGTTGTAAGTAACACTAGTTCGCATCCGTGGCTCTCTCGTTAACTCCTTTGGACGTGGATTGGAGCTGGACCACGTAGAGTATAGTCTACCTTGGACCACGGACAATGCTCTACTGGCAATGGTGCCAAACTGCGTTCTTGCCTGCAATTATCATTGTACTGAGTCGTAAGTCGCAAGTGAGATGCAGAGGAAGAGGAAGACCATCGGACTTGGCAGCTTTGACGTTTCTTGCACTCGCGTGTTCATCGATGACCTCGCAGAACACGCTCATACAGCGAGCGAGCGAGCGAGAGAGAGAGAGAGAGAGAGAGAGAGATGACCGTGTGGTGGTGATCGATCAGAACAGTAAGCCACGGTGCTATTGCTGTGCAGCACGAAGCGTGTGCTCTGAGAGCACCATATATGATATCACGGGAATCACACCTCAGCTTACATATGTCCGTCATCAAGCATCCCATGACTCGAAATTTCGAACATTTCTTAAGAAGATACGGCAATCAATGGAGAAAACGTAGAATGTCGATCAACACAGGGAAAAGGATAGTTACTTTAATCGTCCAAAGACGGGCAGCTGCGGCTCGAGATGATTCGTATTACCACAGCGTACCGAAAGCCCAGCCTCGATCGTCGCAAGCCGGGCCGATGGGCCGAACACCATGAAATTTATCAGGGTGACGTTGCCCTCTCGCGTGGGGCCCATTCGTGAGATCGGGGATCGCTGACATCACCCCCTTGACGTGTCTCTTCTCTGATTTGCTTGTTAGAATTATCTTTTTTTAATATTAATTATATAATTCTTTCACAACTCTTTGGACATTATTAGAACTGTCTTTTTTGTATTTTAATATATATTATTCTTTAATCGAAAAATCGGTGACTGATACACTTGACAGCGTTCCACTCTCTCTCCAGAATAATAACCCCCACATCGCCTCTCCTATCTGTAAGTACGAATCTCTCTCTCTCTCTCTCATCTCTCTCTCTCTCTATCTCCCCCAAAGATGACGCCGATCCAGTCCCGCAATCCCTCGTTCCTCATCTCCCTCCTCTGCCTTATCGATGTGTGTGTAAGTTTGGGTTCTTCCCATCCTACACCTCCCCCTCTTCCCATTGCGCCCCTGCCCTCCGCCGCGCAGCTCCGGTGGCAGCTGGGCGAGATGGCTCTCTTCCTCCACTTCGGCCCCAACACCTTCACCGACTCTGAGTGGGGCTCCGGCCACGCCCCCCCCTCCGTCTTCCGCCCGGGCTCCCTCGACGCCCGCCAGTGGGCGCGGACCGCTGCCGCTGGCGGATTCGCCCGGGTGGTCCTCACCGCCAAGCACCACGATGGATTCTGTCTATGGCCCTCCGCCTATACTGACTACTCCGTCCGGTCGAGCCCCTGGCGCGCTGGCCGGGGCGACGTGGTGGCGGAGCTGGCGGCTGCCGCGAGGGAGTATGGGATCGGCATGGGCGTCTACCTCTCCCCGTGGGATCGGCACGATCCGTCCTATGGGAGCACGGTGAAGTACAATGAGTATTATCTGGGGCAGATGACCGAGTTGCTGACCAAGTATGGGAATTCCTGTTGCTTCTCTACCGTTTAATTGCTTCTCTTAACAAAGATCTTGGCTCAAGGTCGTAGCTTTCGCAAATTTGAGGTTCCTGATCAAAATTCATCTTTTTTCTGCGTTTCTTTTGAGTAGTATGTCACTTTATGTCATATATACAAGATAATTTCCCTGCTTTCCTTCAAGGGAGTTTGGCACAAATTCTTGGCTTTTGGTAGCTTGAAACTCCTGTCTGGTATACATAAAAATTTTGAGATGTTCAAGTAGTACAATATGTCATTCAACTGACAAACGTTCTACAAGTAGAACTTCTATGATGAATACAAGATTACTAGATTAATCGAGACACCGTAGTTTTACTTTCTTCTTCTTACTCGTTGTCAGAGACTTTCCTGAGTGTGCAGGACTCAATTGAAGTATCACGCCATGAGTACAGATTCAATCAATATCATTATCATGAGCCTTCTTGCATTATACTTGTTTTGTCATCTTGTTTGTACATATCCAAAACTTTCTCTCTAATAAGTTAGTCTTCTTCACTCTGATATTGTTGAAGCAAAAAATCTGAAGAAAACCTAGTTTCAAAATGTAAATATATTTTCCATGAGTTCATAAATATCTTTTGGTTGTTTCCCTTTTTAATGAGTTTGGGATGAAGGATCTCATTCCTATTTGTGATGGTTAATTGTGTGGAACAGCTACGGTGATATTCAGGAGGTTTGGTTGGATGGTGCAAAGGGAGATGACAAGGAAATGGAGTACCACTTTGATTGCTGGTTTCAGCTTATCCATCAGCTCCAGCCAGGGGTTATGATATTCTCTGATGCTGGCCCGGACACTAGATGGATAGGAGATGAGTCTGGAGTTGCTGGTTCTACTTGCTGGTCTCTTTTCAACAGGAGTTCTGTCACAATTGGCCACATTGATGAACAGTGAGCACTTTTTTCTTTATTCCTTAGAAAAGCATCCGTTGTTTCTTGACCATTACAATTGTGTTATATGCACATTCCTTTTAGGTTATCTTTATAAATCTTCAGATAATGTGTCCTTGATGTCCTTATTTATAGTATTTCTTGATAATGTTGCCTTCTAGCCCCTTAGTGTATTGACTTCATCAACGTGCTACATTGACTAACTTGTTTGGGAATAAAAGCTATCACCTGTTATTTTTCATTCTCTTCCCATGACATTGTCTACTACTATATAATTTTTGTGAATTCTGTAACATACTCAACAGGGAGATCCTATTCCAAAACGAAACGTCCACAATTTTGTACATCATTCAGCTTCTTTTACATGGTTTCAATTGTCTATAAAGTGCTTTCAATGAATTGATGCCCTTTGGTAGGAGAGATAATGTGGACACAAATAAGGAGTTAGAAACATTGATCACATGTAAATATGTAAAAAAGTTGGTTCCCATTTCTGTCCCTATATTGTGCTAAATTGTTCTATGGATGTTTAGATATAGCTACAGGCTTTAGCTTTAATTGTGGTCATTTATCTAAGGGATCCAGGAGTTTGAGCTATATAATGCATTTGGGTGGCATTGATTGTTGATGTACATGCTTATACAGTTATCAGTCTGTTTAAAATATGAAATTAATGTTGATGCATTGTTTGTCATCTATAACCAGTTTTGTATTTCAGACGGCTGTCCAGTATTCTCTGCGAGGAATCAGATTGAATGAGAATGTGTGGATGAAAGAAACAGGCACAGCTTGGATCCTAGGCTCTCAATGTTTCTAAGGTTTTAGGAACGGTAGTTCTATGGTTACAACCATATTTGGAACCTAGCGACCTCTAAATATTCTCACCTTTGCTTCCTTTGTCAAATGTCTTGTCTTTAGAGGATTCCCACCTTCAAATTTATTACGGACAATTCGTCTGAGAGCATACCTTGCTCCTTGATTGTCAAAATTTTCATTCGTCAGTTCCAGTTCCAGGTGGTATGAGATGTAGACAGTCTCATTCCTCTAACAAGAGAAGATGCATATGCATTCTTCATTTCGATGGACTTCTCAGTTGTTTAAAGATTAAAAATCACATAGGCAAAAAATGGTATCTTTCACAAAAATTTGGCCCTTTTTTTGGTATTTTGTTACACAAAGTCTAATGACCTAGTATTAAACTTCATTATCATTCTTTAGATCTTACATCAACAACATGTGATATTATATTTATTCAACTTCTCTGCACTAAGTTGCCATCATGTCAGTATTAGGTTTTTGTCTAGATGCAACTTTCTGCTATTAGATTTACAGCTATCTACCTGCAAACAGACAGATTAGAAGACCTTCATACCGATACTTACTGCAATGTGACATTGCCTAAAGATTGACTAGCATTGTGAATTGTTGATGGATCACTAAATTGGTGCTTCTGTTTAGACTAATATATGGTGAAAACAACCTGATCTAGTAGTAGAAGAAGAGGGATTTCCCAAGGAAATGCTTGCTGAAAGAAAAAAAAAAAACTGCTAAAATTCTCTGAAAATAAAATGTGGCCAAGTATAAAAATGCATGGTTATTCTAGTCCATTAGCTGTTTATTGACTAACAATTGGTTAGCAAATGATCACTAAGAGCTGTGGGCCACCAGATTGTCCATGCTAGAGATCTGCCGAAGTAATCAATTCTTTCTGTAGAAATTCAGAACTACACCACATATGCTAACCAGAATCTAAATTCGTTCATAAAGGTAACATAAATCTGAAAGCTGACTAAAATTTGAAGTTTATAGCACAGATAATGCTTCTTATTACTCGTGTTAGCATTTGAATGCTTTTTTCAACTCTTGGATCAATGCATTAGTTCCTGTTTCAATTTGTGCATTTTGAACTCAAAATTAAAGTTTTGAGTAGCTTGGAAGTTGGGTAGCCAATCATTGTCTCTTTTTTCACTTGCCAGAAGTTCTCGTCATGGAGATCCTCATGGAATTGATTGGGTTCCTGCTGAGTGTGATGTATCCATCAGGCCAGGATGGTTTTGGCACAGTTCAGAACATCCGAAGTCTGCAATGGAACTACTTGATATATATTACGAGTCTGTAGGCAGAAACTGTCTCTTGATCCTGAATGTTCCCCCTAATTCATCAGGCCTCATATCTGATGAAGACCTTCAGGTTCTTCAGGATTTTACTGCACTTCGGATCACCATATTCTCTCATAACTTAGCTTGGAATGCCACTGTCACTGCAAGCAGTGTGCGTGGAGGTGATAATGAAACTAGGTTTTCTCCCTCAAACGTACTCCAAAAAGGTATTAGTAGTTACTGGGCTCCCGATGAGAGTGAATCTGATTGGGCAATATTCCTTGATCTTGAGCAATTGATATCGTTCAATGTATTACAAATCCAGGAGCCAATCCAGATGGGTCAACGTATTATTGAGTTCCAAGTTGACATTCTGGCATCTGGAGAATGGAAGACCATAGCAAATGGCACAACTATTGGATACAAAAGGCTTCTCCGTTTTCCTATGGTAGAAACCCAGTTTTTGAGGTTTATCATCAACAAGTCCCGTGCCAGCCCATTGATATCTTACATTGGCATCCATGCTGACCCTTTCTCCATGGTTTATGATTCAGTCACTGCACGGTCTTCCTCTACCAAGAGATTTTCCTTCAAGCGAAGAAATAAAAGATTTGGCTATGCCCTCGAATCTGCGATCTAGGTTGAGAGTAACATTCCTCCTGATAAATGTGTTTGGGCAAGTTGCACTGAGAGAATTTGGTGTTTGGACAATTTCATCTCCAGCATAGTTCAATAAAAAGCTCAACGAGGGCAATAAAGGATGCCGCTTCCACCCGTGTTCAACTCCAGGGCCTTCCGCAGGTGTACATTTTTTTTCTCGTGTGTATATAAGACGAGCTTTGTTGAAGTCACAATAAATCTGCACATTCATATACTTCCCCTCTCTAAAGATGGCTAAAATAGTCATAGATATTGTTGCAAAGACAAGGGGTAAATTATTTGAGGTTTTCTGGAGGTAAATGGTTGGTAGATAATATGGTCAAGAAAATATTTGGATTAGACTAATTGCAGAAAAACTTTTGACTATTAGCTAATGATGAGCTTGGATGAATCTATTAGATGGACTGACCACCAATCTCTTGCCAGTTCCGTTGTAGCAATAAGATAATAGAAGAAATATTTCTGGTGCAGCGGAGAAGACAATTGTTCTCGACTCTTGGTAGAAAAATTATTGCAAACAATAGCAGGTTGGTTTTCCATGAAGAGCATGTGCTACCAGCAAAAGTTGCTTGGAACCTTTCTGAGATGGTTATCAATGCCTGACTTGAAGTATGAGTTACAAAAGGAATCTCCTCCACAGATAAAAATAAAAAATAAAAAATAAAAAAATCATTTTTCCTGGGAATTTTCCAGTTGATGAAAATGTTAAGAGGCCAGCTGCAGAGCTCTGGTAAATATCAACTTCATCTTTCAGCAATAGTTAATTAACACCATTCATTGGCTGCCATTGACTACAGTGAACATGAGAAACAAATTTGGAGATCACACAGTGAATTAGTTCTTTCTTGCATCATAAAGCCATCGATGTCTCATATGCGAGTAAAATTCAGACAGCGGCCGATCCTGTAAAAGCACAAGGTATGGTATGTAGTTAAGCATATGAATCCTCATTATGGACTATTTTTAGATTTGCTTTAATGTTTGCATCATCTTTTCTCCTTTTTTCTGTTCCTGTACATTTTTACTCCTGTGCTAGAAGATATGATTGTTTTGTAAATGGTACGTGCAGTGTTAAAGTGTCACCTTTAACAATCTGGATATTTCACAATCCAAAAGCATGTACATCACATACATCATAATGGAACATAGGACTAATTTGCAGCTTCTTTATGTCTCTCTAGACAATGCCCTGAGCCACAATTTCCATGAGAAAGCACTTCAACTACCATGAGATGGTAGTCAAAGGTCTCCTGCATGCACCTCACTTAACACCAGACATATGTTTCACACAAATTTTGGTAGTCAAAGGTCTCCTGCAAATTTTGGTTTGTAGTTGCTTCCTTTTGTTGGTGATATAGAGCAAATAATATTTACAATTGCATATTATTATGGATTGATAGTTGCCCATTTTTTGCAGACATGTGTTGAGCATGAAAGTTTTGGCTTTAGTTTTGCCCAAGTCAGTAGTCTTGTGCATCCCTAGTATGTAAACTTCCTTGTATCCAATTTACTTGTATGGCACTTCTTTTGGAACCCAAAGCCCCCCCAACTCCTGCACTTGCATCACAAGGCTGTTTGGTATAGAGATCTGATAGAATAGTTCCATATGCAAATGTATGATATAAGATGAGAATTGATAGGACTTTTGAGGATTCCAGCATTGCAATTATGTAAGCTTTGTCATAAAGGTGACCAATGTTTTTTATTTTTCTGGCCTTGACTTCTTGACTTAGAGGGAGAGCATACACCAAGCCAATTCTGCCATCCCCCTCAATAGCTGGCAATGTCCCCAGTGTCAGAATAAGATACCAGCATACATGGTCTTAGCATAAAACAGACGTTTCATGACCTGTTCTTAACTACTGTTTGAGGATCCAAGATGTTATTTATTACATGTGTAATAATAAATCAAAGTGAGTAGAGAAAAATAAAAGGAAAAAAACAACAGAGAAAATGACAAATGATTGATCATGAAGAAGATTGTATGCCACACAGTTTCTCCCTGCATACTGTCACCAGTGCTTCTTCTAAGTGAGGAAAAGAGGACAATCAGTACCTTATAAGATCCAGAGTTATCTCTATTCTCTTTTGGATGAAACTATTGCTTGTTACTGTGTGACATGAGCTTCACCATCATCAACCTTTCTCATTCATCCACCAGTTGGAGAGCTTCACCATCAACTTTCTCATTCATTGACCAGTCAGAGAGCTTTCCCATCAACTTTCTTTCCATGAAATATTTCTCATTCACCAATTGTTCAGAGAAGGTGGATCCTTGCACAGTCTCCATTGCCATCAACCAAATAACCTGCATGACACCTGCTAAAAATGTTTATCCAGCTTGCATCACTTATCATTTGCCAATGAAAATGTTTTATGTATATAGCATCAATGCAATAAACCTAAGTTATCTACTACTCATAATTATCATTAAATTAAAATTATTTAAAATTTTAAATGCCCAAAAAACCCTTTATGTATGTATGTGTGTGTGTGTGTATCTATATATATATATATATATATATATATATATATATATATTAATGTGTGGATGTAAGAATGGTAATGATTTGTGAAAGACCATATGGTCTCATTGGCCATCATAGCTCTTCATTAGCTTTTTGTAGGGATAATGAGAGAAGTCCGAAAAGAGCCACACATTTTTCCAGATTATATCACATCTATCATTCAGTCAAATCTACAAAATATGGAGTGAAGATTACAGATTTTTAATTGAGCAATGAATTGCCAAATCATGAGCTTTAGATGTGAAATATCCACTCACTGCTGCATTGAGCCATATATTGTGTGTGATCAGATATAAAACCAGAATTAGATCATATTAAAAACATATGAGACAACCTTAATGATCTATTTATCATAAAAAAAAGAATTAAAATTTTTGTAGGATTTTCACTTCTTTTTTTATAAAAATAAAAGTATATTTAGCTTAACATGTACTTAAATAATTATCCAATCTATGATTTGATCCATTGATTTAATCAATAACTCAATTTATCCTTTAGATTGGAGACTAAACTCATTCCAAATGGAGACTATGATTGGAATTGGACCCAACTCAAACCATGTCATTTGATGCTAATGTTGGTTTTACAAGGATAAATATTTAAGTACTCACTAAAGTAGGATGTTACATTTCAATTTTCATTATTGTTATTGATAGAAGTATAACAAAAAAAAAGATAATCTTAAAATTAAAATATACTAACAAACTATACAAAATGATAAGATTTTTTCTATACATAATATTTTTGACACCTATATATAATTATAACTTCCAACTAAAAGAAAAATACAAATATAACAAGTTCAAAGTCTATAACATTTTATGTGTATAAATTTGAGATATATTATATTTATATATTTTTTTAGAGGTTATGATTATGTATAAAAAAAATATTATCATCTGGTTTAGTAAATTAGTATATTCTAATTTTAAGATGATCTAATTTTTGCTATACATCCTATAAGGTATGAATAAAATCAAAAACAGAGTGTGACATATATATATATATATATATATATATATATATATATATATATATATATATATATTACTTGCTAGTTTAACTGTGTTTTGAGACTTTGTTGAACTCGTTTTATGGGACATAAACAAAAAAATCAAAAGTGACCTTAACAATTATAATTAATCAAAGTGATTAGGAATATGCACAAGAGATCCTAATTTTTGGATTAATAGATTCCACATGAGGCATCAATAAAATCATCTTAGAATTAAATATAATCTTCACCATTTAATATTGGTCGGAAATGTTGATTAGTTGTATCGTTGATGCAATCTCTTGAATCGTCTCCCACCTCACATAACACATATATACTATTTTCTTTAGTGCATCGAACTACATATCACTTGATTCTTTGATATGCTTATTAAAGTTCGTTGAATCGATCCAAAGAAGTTTATGGGTGATATGATCTTAGATAACATAAAAAAAACACCACTATAAATTGTGAGATTGTCGATTAGGATTATTTGGATATTTTAGTGGTGCAAAAAATACATATATTTTGAACTAAACGCTTGGCCAGGTCACCCTGACATTTCCCCGGGTGACGAAGTCCTGTTTTATTGCTATTCGGGTTTTTTTGGTAATTGAACTCGTATTCTTTGTCGTCGACGATTCCTTATAAACGGAAACCGATCACCGCATTCGACCTCCGCTTGCCTTCGCCACCACAAATACCGCCCGCTTCTATAGGTTTAGCAGGAGGAGGCTCCAAGGGCGAGAGGTTTCCGAGGGCCACAAAGATACTTCCGGGGAGCCCGGAGCTCCTTTAGCGCATCTCCCTCTCGCCTCCTCTTCCTAACGTCCTTCGCTGCGCCGGAGATGCTGCCGTACGCGACATTGGAGGAGGCGGAGGCGGCGCTGGGGCGGAGCCTCACCGCTGCGGAGACACTATGGTTCCGCTACTCCGCCCGGATGCCCGACTACCTCGTCTACTACCACAACATCATCTTCCTGTTCGTCATCTTCAGCCTCGCCCCCCTCCCGCTCGCATTGATCGAGCTCCGCCTCCCCGCCGCCGTCTCCCCCTTCAAGCTCCAGCCCAAGGTCCGCCACTCGGCGGCCTCCTTCTTCCGGTGTTATAAGGATGTCATGCGCGTCTTCATCTTCGTCGTCGGGCCGCTCCAACTCACCTCCTACCCCACCGTTAAGGTCCCGTTCTTGATGCTTCTCCTTCTCCTCTAGGGCTAGGGTTACATTGCATCTGATCTATTGTTGCGAAAGAAAAGATGTCTTTTTTTGGGGTTTCCCCCTTTCCTAGTGCCAAAAAGAATCAACCTTTGTTAGTTCTTTCATCGTTCATTTGATGGTTTTGGCTCTTCAGAAATGCTATCTTTCTCATTGCATTGCTCGATCTAAAGACGTTTTCTTTTAATTTCTTTGGCTTTTTCCATCAATATGCTCCGTTTTCTTAAAAAAGGTTGTCTTTTTATAGCGTTGCTCAATTTTTAGCGGTGTTTTCCTCCATCAATATGTTCGATCTTTAGTAAAGTGCGACATTATGGCAGTTCGTGGGAATACGGACCGGGTTGCCCCTGCCTTCATTGTGGGAAGCAGCCGCGCAGCTGGCGGTGTACTTCTTGGTGGAGGACTACGGAAACTACTGGATCCACCGGCTGATGCACGGCAAGTGGGGGTACGAGAAGATCCACCACATCCACCACGAGTTCACAGCGCCCATAGGCTTCGCTGCCCCCTACGCGCACTGGGCAGA